GATTCAGAAGTGCGGATGTATAGTTTTAGGTGCTAAACCAAACTTTGCTATGTCCTCCACTTGGAGATTTTTTTCGTGGCACGAATTAAAGATATGCCTCGAGATGTATTTACTTAATTTTATTATACGAATCCGGCATATTTTATAATGATACCTATATACAGGCGGACTTCAATTTCCCAACACGTGTGAGAGACGAAGTTACATAGCTCATAGAGCTTGTGTTGGGCCTGTAAAACTTTTTGTGGCCCCTGCGGTGGTTGACCGTTGGATGTTTATCTTCTTTTAAAGTACCATGTTCTAAGGCTTTCTACCCTCAACATCACTGTCGCCCAACAGGACAAAGCTACCATAAGGAAGCAAAAGTGAGAATTGCAGCGTGCTTCTGGGATTTGGTCGCCCGACTGGCGTTCCAGGCCGGGGGGACTTGGCGTTGCGCTAATCTTCGTGCCTCGGCCTGTTCAAAGACGTTCATCAGCAATCCCATTCTTGAATAATGGCCGCTAGACGATTCAACTGTGAACGACAACAGTGCCCACCTGGATGATATCCACTTCTCAACATTTGCCAAAGCAAGCTGTCTACATGTGGTTCCATACTTATCAACTGTTCGACGTGATGCCAGCCATGTCTAACAGGGTTTGGCAAACTATGGTTGGAAAGCCATTCTCGCATGTCGGAGCCTTATAATATTTTTCTGTTTTTTGTCATTCATTCTCTTCTGATGCACTCCAGTTCTGGGGAGTCTGTCCAGATATTCAAAACAAAGATGGAATCTGTGTCTATGCAGCCCACTACATAAGTTTTAAGGCTGGAGAGATGCTAATGTTTCTCATCCAGTTTAATATCATGTAGTCTCCCAGGGCAGTTCTCCTATGGTCTCTATCGCAAACCCATAGGTGCCTTTCCTTGAATCTGTTTTGATGTGCTAAATCTTTAATTCTTGTCGTTTTTGTTCCCTACGGTAAGAAACCTTTTAAAAGATTGTACGCACAGTACAATCCTGGGCCCAGCGCACTACTATTTTTGTCTTTATCTGATTTTAGATTTTTATTGAATTTGCAGTAGTTGTGAAGCTGATCTGGCATTGTTTCACACTATATACACTTGGATACTTTTGAAACTTGGTACATTGATGATACCATGCAGTCAAGACAGCTTTGTGAAGAGCAGTCCTGATCAGCTTTAGGATCCATGAATGCATACCCATTAACTGATTCGTTACTTCTTGCATAGAAAAATATTCCTAAGTTGCATTTATTCAGCTTTTGATCATGGCGGTCATTTTCAGAACCCAACCCCTTAGTTATATCTCTGCGTGCTTCAAAACATTTTTCGCAACAACTCCCACATTCCATAGATTGCTGAAAGAGGACAAATTCAAACCCTTGTGTCAACCCTACCTCCTCCAGCACTTCCATTCTCACCTACGACCTTGTTCAATGAGCCATAGATCCTCATCACGAGGCCGGCCTCCATCGCAAGGCTCCTTCCGAAGCCGCAGCCCATTAAGCTATCTATCTGGCAGTGATTCAGCAAGTCAATCCTTACCGCTACAAGTCCTATCAGCCCATAACCAACATGAAGTACCCCCTGGCCCATTCCAACCTCGTGGTCCATCAAGCCTCGCATCGGGCGGTGCCCCTCCGAGCATTACGTTGCCATCAGCAGCCCAGCCGTTACCAATGCCGCCAGCAACAGCTGCGCCGGGCTCGTTTGTCAGTCGGGCTCCACCAAGCTATGTTACTAATCCAGCAGGTCCGGCAAGTGTCCATGCGGGATCCCAGGTTCATTCAATACCACCTCAAAGCCGGGTAGGTTCTCGTCGTGGTAGTACGGCTCTAGGTTCAAGAAGAAGCACTGGCAGAGGGGCTGGCGGTCCAGCCCTTAATGATCCGTTGAACGACCTTGATACTGTGCGAGGACCAACTGGTGTTTCTAATCCTGCTCCGAGTGTCGGCCATGGTCAGGTATTCGGTGGTTCTGCGGTCCATTCACATTGGGTAGGGCATGGTCCACACTTTGGAGAGGGAAGGGGAGGAGCGCTTGGTGGTGTCCCCCATCATCGCAATCGTGGTGATGAAGCGGCTCAGAACTGGGACGAGTCGAAAAAGTGTATGAAGTTATCAGCATGGTGCTTTTTGGCTGCGCTTATTCTTTCGGCAATTGTCATTGGGGCTATTGAAGGCTCAAAGAAGGGCTAGGAAGTATCGCAGCTGCATATTATGCTAGTTGCCTTGTAAGTTCATCATGAATTGTATTATTATGGCTCAATTCGGACATGACACTATGAAATGATAAAGAAGATAAATTTGGTGGATATCAAAGTCTCAAATAACATACTAGTAAAAAATAAAGTAAATAAAAAAAAAAGAAAAAGGAAACAAAAGAACAACAAAGAAACTGTAAACAAATACATATGTTCAAAAAAAGAGTAAAACATAAACCATCATGTATCAGCATCAATTCATAGTGTACAACCCATGTCACAAGCCTCAACACTTCCAATCAAACTGCCAATCAATTTTAAGACCTTGAAAACAGGCGTCCGCGCTTCCTCGCAGCATCCATCTGTACCCTGCCCTGAAAGTGATCCCGGAACTGCATTCGCCCCAGCGTTCCCAGGCCCACGGTTAAGAAGAAAAGCCCTGTCCATATTGCGGTCACTATTAGCCCGATAGGAAAAATTTCTATAGCAGTCCCTGGAATAACGAATTTGGTGGCAGCTGCAACAATCTCGGGTACTTTAGCGGCGGCATCTGGAAACGTGATATTGTTCGGAGAGCGATCTTCGTTCATTAAATAGCCGGAAACATAGGATAGAGTGTCGGAGGATAGGGCAGTGACGAAGGAGCCGTTCGAGGCGGATCGAGCAGTTATTGTTATATTTGGAATTAGGAGGAAGCGGAGGTCTCCCCTGTAGAGATGTTAGGAAGACGCTGTATCATGATCAATTAGGTTGAGATAGTTGGTGAAACATACGTTGTTAGCTTATCAATTTGAAGACGAGGATCCAGCTGTCCTATATGCCTGAAATCCTGTAGGAGTAGAGGACTGTTCGGTCCCGTTGACTGATTCGATGCTAACCGATCTGGAGAAGAGACTGTTGCCGCCGGTATCATCATCTCTAGTGTATATTGTGACGTCGGCACTCCTGCGAAACCGTCCGACGGCGGAGAGACTTGATAGAGCCTGATATCGGCAGCGAAAGTCCCCGTCGTAGCATTGAAAAACGGGATATTGTAACATGCGGCCATGCCAGAAGGGTTCACAACAGATTGCACACTATCCAACGCATCGAGACAGGCTGTGGTAGCAGTTTCGTTGAATTGTTGCTCGTTTAGTGGTGGCGTTGACGGTGGCCCCATCTGCTGAGGCGATGGCGCCCTTCGCACCAAGTGCGAAGACAGAGAAGCTCGATCGAAGGCATTCTGTCGAACACTAGCTTCGAGGGACGGCGCGCGATAGAGGAGGTTATGGCCTGGAATATCCGTCGAGACCACAGGTCGGATGATTCCTAGTAAATGAACAACGTTGATGAATGTCGCGATGGCCCGCATCATGGACATCCACCGGGCAGTGGGCTATTGCCCAGGGAGAGTCTGTAGAAAACTTCGTCGCTCTTGATCCGAACTCGAGAAATACCGTCATTAATGCTATTGACCGGCCAGCGGCGAGAAGGCTTTGAGATCTCTGATTATTATCGTTAGGCCCAGCTGGCGAGTAAGGCGCATAAATTTCCACTCGAAGTACCGCAATCGCCAACCATTGGATTCTGGTGAGTACCGTTCATCCAGAACCCTCGTTCAACAGCAAAGTGGAATGTAAACACCAAGATAAAAGTACACAAGACGCCACCAAGTCCATCGAGAAAACGAGAGCAAAAAGGGGAAGGGTAAGTGAAATCCTACCCAGAAAACATACTGTCTGAGTCTCAATCAGCGATTACAAATTGAACCTTTGTGTGAGATCCGTGGGCATGAGGGTGAAGCTATTTCGCACTGGTAAGACGTCGAGCGCCTCACCATCATGATCTCAGACTGTCAAAGTCACGAAGCGGCGGCGATGGGCAGGTGAATTATAGGATAATCGCCTGTCCGCGCGCTCCATGCAGCTCCACTCAAACGACGGGTATAATTGCCGATGACAAGGCCAGAGAGAAGTCCCAGCCACTGCAGGCTTCGCAGGGCCACTGGTTTGCAGCAGTTCCTTGTAGTGCCATTCCATTCGTGGTCAAGGTCGTTCATTTCGAGCCGCTGATTGGGGGATGCACACAGCCGAGACGCATCGTGAGACTAGGATTGAGTGGTCCTGCTGTTGGATATGGCGTTGAATCTGCGACAGGGGTTGAAGTTTGCAGAGTCTCACCCACTGTGGGTTCTGGCGCTGTGATTCGACAGCGCGACTTCGACCAGCGCCAACGCCATGACCATCGCCAACCCTTAACCCAACCTCGACTCTTCGAATGAAACTACCATCCCAAGCGAGTCTGAGAGATGCTTCTTCTATGACAGATTTCTTGTCATTCTCTCGGGAATCCGGAACAGCTTAGATGAGAGTGGGTTGCGCCTCTGAAAGAGTCAAACATTTTGTTCATCGAAACCTTCGTTGACAGGTTAGCTCCCGCCAGGGTCCAAGCTATTTTAAGAATTAACTAACTCACACTCCCCTGGCCGTTCATGTAGCCCGGATAGGAATGACGAATGTAACTCCCGCATAGCCTTGTTAGTCAAGATGCCGGACCGGTCTACCGCCGCTAACACTGACATTACTCAGGTGATGCTGAAATGCCACCTCTTTCTGCGGCTCACGAAGTTTGACTTCTAATTAACAAACTAATGCTTTAACCTTGCCGCTGAGGCCCTGGAACACCGAGTTTTTGCCGGTTGCATGTTGATGGAGTCATGTTTTAAGCTAGGCCTGAGAATTGGACTCGTCGTCCTGGAACACCGAATTTTCTCCGGTTGCAGATATCTGGCTCGTGAAGATCAGATTCCATCATGAAATCGACCTCCTCTACCACCTACGGAGCACATCTGCAACGATTTGCTTGGCCATGGCGCAGTTGTGCAGCCTTGCATCTTTGCGCTTCCGTGGTTGCGAGATCATCTAAGTCTCCTCTCCGTTATTTTGATACTCCATGCCCCGTTAACCAGTGTACCTGGTTTGAGGTCGGGGACTCGCTCGGCCTTTTGATGTACCAGACCCAGTGTAGGCTCAGTTCGACCCCGGCCCTCCCACACCCTCCGGTGATGCGCACACGACCACCAGTTTATGTATGTATGTACATCGATGCAGTGCATCCATACGGTGTTAAACGCTTGGCTACGGTACTTTACCTACATGATTGAAGTCGAAAATGTGCATATGCTTGAGGTTTCCACTGATTATGACAAAAGATCTAGGCTCCGAAAGTTATAGGATGAGCACTTAGTACGTATCATGCGCGATTCGACAATATGTAATACCTGCGGTGATTTCTAATCTTCCTCTTCCTTGCTACTCCGTACTTCGTGTGGGTGTGCCGCCTAAGTTAAGCCCTGGGATCATCGGAAACATACCTACAAAATAAAAGCGGAATAACGGTAACTATCCGGCATAATTGTGCCCAAAGCGGATAATGCGACTCAACATCCGAGAGATTTTCCTCCGCCCTCTACTTTGCACTTCAAGACTATTCTAAACAGCCTCTCGGTTCGGCGCGGTGAGCCCGTTAGAGATATGTTCCTTTCTTTCCGTGGTTGGTTCAGCGGTGGCAGCCGGAGGAAGCACGGCCATATATCGTGACGCCAAATTCGCCTCCGTCTACAAAATCAAAGCTTACAGTCAAATCTCTGCTTCAGCGCCATCCTTAAATGCATTGGCAGGGCTTCCCCTGTTTGTTAATGTCAACCAGGAACACGACATGCATTAGCCCATCGTCTACTAACCATCCTCCATTTCATTTAACATGTAGGCATTGCCGCATATCCAGCAACAGCCATTTTGTTTGTCAATCGAAACACTATAAGTGCCCCCAAGGACCTGAGTGTATACTGAATTACTTGGTTTTGCAGAGCTTTGACTATTTGTGCGGGTTAGGATTTTCAGAGCCGCAAAAAGGTGAGCGTGGCATAGAAGCGGAGTAGAGCCAGCCCTTGGGTTGTAGCCGTGTATATACATATGCAACGCGGCGGGATGTCAAACTATATAGGAAGCCGATGCGGTTTGCGGCCAGTATCCGCTTGGGAGGTTATGGAGCCCTTGTGCGACTTACTCTTCTCGTGATAGCAAGCCAAGGAGTCAGAGAAGAAATTCAGTTAAGATAAGAGTGCCCAGGTGCTCCTTGTAACCTTTCAAGGACATGACAGGTTATGAGGCTACATCATAAGCACTCAATCCCCGTCTGGCTTGGAGGAAAATGCATCAGCTCGGGATCTTAGCCAGACCCGTGTCCACACCCATGACCAGCCTCGACATCCTGGCAAAGCATTGGTAGCCAAGGGGGATTTGGTTTTCACCATTCGTGGCTGTGTAAGTCATCCGTGCTCCGAGCGAAAACCGACTACAGACATGCACTCGCTCTGTGCATTGGATAGGTGTAGGTGTCGGCATCGGCAGATTCGCGAGCAAAGCCGCGGTGACAGGCAGAGAGGCAAACACGTTGCTGCATGGGACCAACTCTAATACTACTTCGGAGACTCCCAGCCTTGCTTTAGCCATACCTAAACTTTCACACTGATTAGAGGGACGTCAATTGGATGTGGATGAAGTCATCAACCATGTCAAACTTTGACACCCTCCAAAAAAGAGACTGTTATAAGGTCTTGCTTGTCATATTTTGAACCTAAACATAGCTGCGATCGCTAACAAATAAACTAACCCTCAAAAAATGAAAAAACATGGATACACCCCATGAGGCATTGCTTCCTCCTGATCGCCCTTCTCTCAGCCAACAAACAAATGGTATCAGAGACCGACACAAGTCCAAAGGAAAAAGAATTCTTAGCCGGATAAAGCGGGCTCTCTGTGCCTTCTTTTGCTACAGAAAGTAAGATGACTGTTTCGACCTATTGTATCTTCAATTTGTCCCAATCTCCATATGCTAAAGTTTTCGCTTCCATAGGCATTCGCATAGTGATTATAGCTCAAAAGAAAAACTTCAAGAGGATCGAGAGCCTGGCAAATTTGACCCTACATTGAGGTCCATTCCAAATAGGACCAGATGAATACCGCAATTCTAATACTCGGCATACCCGAAGCTAACTCTATACGAACGCAACATTGATGGTTCGGGGAGCAGAGTGCTATATTTCAATTAGAAGCGAGTAGAATATATACTAAAAACAAAAAGTGAAGAAGTGTCTTGACAAGAGTGGTTTACTATCATGGTTGTTACATGGCGGTGCTTCCAGGCGTTTGGTTTACAAGGGGATTTATGGTCTTGTGAATTGAGTCAGATTTCTATAAAATAAAAGGAACTGCGATTCATCAGTCTGGTTGAATGCTTGTGCAACTGGCCTGCCTGAGGACAGGGGATCTGGGTTCATATAGCTTGTCAATCACATATGCTTTTATGAAAACTGATTTCCATGTATTAAATTATTGTATGGCTGTGTCCAACAATCAGGGAAAACATCTTTCTCATATGCCTAGCATATGTAACTTTGAGCATTATGGGAATTGTTCAGCTCTGCTATTTCCTCTTTGTAGCATTGATGAGCTTCTTTTTGATATGCTTTGGAATCTTTTTCGCCCGCTGTTCACGCTTCTCCTCCTTAACCTGTCGCTTGTGGTCCCTTTTCGCCTCCTTATCTTCAAACCGTTTTCCACGAGGTGCCTTCTTAGCAAACGGATCAAGTGATCCCGCTTCTCCCTCGGCTTCAGATTCTCCTTCAGAGACTGAAACGCCTCCTGACTCGTCCGAGCCTTCTTCAATGGCTGCCGACGTCTGCTCGTCTGTTGTCCGAACTTTGCCGCGATTTGCTAGCAGGTCGCGGTACACGAGGTCCTCCCCTTCTCCCGCCTGGAGTTTTTCAACATCACGTTCTACATCATACACCTGCTCAAGTGTTTGGGGGATGTATTGTTGTCGGAATACGGCGGTATCGAGCTCGGCATTGTCTGCATCTTGAGAGTCCGATCTCGTAGCAAAGAGCTTTTCTAGAGCATCTATCATCGGTTCATTGGACCCGTTCAACATGCGAGGGCCTTCCGATGAAATGATAAACTCGAAAAGAGTACGTTCAGGCACTGTGTCAACTCCTTTCCGCCTAAAAAAGTCACTAACGTTCTTGATATCCATGCGGAGGAATTCCAAACTTCGAGGGTGATCATGCTCGACGCTCTGGCTGACGTCGATAATGTATAATTTGTGTTTGTGGTAAAGGACGTTGTATTCACTCAAGTCGGCATGAACCAGCCGACAGTCCTGATACATGGTTCTCATATATCCAACTAGTTCCATATAAAGGCTTCGCCATCGGGCTTCATCCTCCAGTTCCACGTCTTTTAGACGAGGAGCAGGGAGACCCTTTGAATTCCCAAGGAAACCCATTGCCAGCACGTGTAATCTCAAGTACACAGGCTCTGGACAAGGAATTCCAGCTGCGTATATGCGCTTGAGATTTCGCATTTCTTTCTCTGCCCAAACTTTCACCATTGCCCGGTTGTTTGACTTGTTGTATCCCTGTCTAAATCTGAATTCACCGGTTACGTACTTGTCTCGATCCTTGAACACTAGAATGCTTGTCTTATAGACTTTGATGGCACGTTGTACAGGCGCTCCCTCATCGGCATCAGGATAAGAAACGGCATGATAAACATTGGCTTCTTTACCCGTGGAAAGACATCCGTTGACTTCAGATATAACATTCCTATTGATCATCTGTAATAGCAACATTCTTGTCCTCGGATCTAACACCTGTTCTGATGTCGCTCTGTCACTTTTCTCTGCGCCTTTGGAGGCGCGACCTCCAAGGCCAGACTGGATATCGTCGAGCCGTAGTTTCGTCGCATGGCGTGAAAGCGCAGATATCTGATCATCAATCTTCGCATGAGTATTGACAGTTGGCTTTTGTGGATTACTCTTTGGATAGGACGATTTTGGGGCATTCGGGTCTGCGACTACTTCGTTTAGCCGACGTTGACGGTTATATGATTTTGTGTAATCGGCAGGATTTGAAGAGAAAAAGTCTTCATCATCGAGATCATCTGCAAATATATCATCGTAGTACTCGTCTCCTTCTTCCCCAAGCCCTTCCTCTGAGTTTTTCTCGTTTGCACCTTCGGGAAGAATCTCTTTTGGCGGGGTATCAAAATTTTGGTCCAGCACGACAACACGATCGGGGGGAGCAGATTCCTGCGGGATTGTCGCCTCTGTCGAAGCCATAACAAAAGATATTCCTCAAAGCGCAAACGCTAGGTCAACCTCTAAACGTAGAAAAAGACTGATAGCTTGACCTTGCTGCCCATTGCCCCTCGAGAAATATTGCTGTGTGACGTAGAGTTTTATATTTCGGTGAAATAGTTTCGCCGATATCCGCGAGGTCGGTTAACCCTAGTTTCCGAATCTGGAACGCGTCAGAAGGCCTGGCTATCGAATGAGCCCAGACGCGTTGCTGAATTAGAGTCGCAATCCCAGGCACAACTGCGAACCTTGTTGTTGGCATTCCCTATCTATCAAGCTCGAATGACGCGTATTTCATGGTAATGAGGTGTCATTGCACTTGATTTTGCATACATCTCTCTGCAAGATCGCCGAAATGTTCGTGAAGCAGATTATCATCCAGGGCTTTAAGAGGTGGGATATGCTGCTCTACGCCATCGCCCCGTACTTTTTTGCTGACGCCTTACTCGATTATAGCTACAAGGACCAGACCGTCATCGAGCCTTTTTCGCCGAAGCATAATGTGATCGTCGGGCGCAACGGATCGGGAAAGAGTAATTTCTTTGCCGCGATCCGGTTTGTCCTCAGCGACGCCTACACCCATATGGGCAGAGAGGAGCGCCAGGCCTTACTGCACGTACGTGCTGTCGCGAATGTAAATTGATACGTTACTTATATTAAATAGGAAGGATCTGGGTCTGCCGTAATGTCGGCCTATGTTGAGATTATTTTTGATAACTCCGATGAACGTTTCCCGACCGGAAAGAATGAGTTAATCCTACGCCGTACTATTGGGTTGAAGAAAGATGAATACACGCTGGATCGCAAGAATGCTACCAAGGCGGATGTGATGAACTTGTTGGAGTCGGCCGGTTTTTCTCGTTCGAATCCGTATTACATCGTCCCCCAAGGTCGCGTCACAACATTGACGAATATGAAAGACTCGGAACGTTTGGTTTTGCTAAAAGAAGTTGCCGGTACTCAGGTTTATGAAGCGCGTCGTGCAGAGTCCTTGAAGATTATGAATGAAACAAATAACAAAATTGCCAAGATCGACGAATTGTTAGATTATATCAACGAACGTCTAGGAGAGTTGGAGGAGGAAAAAGATGAACTAAAGAACTTTCAAGAGAAGGATAGAGAAAGAAGGTGCCTCGAATATACTATCTACTCTCGAGAACAGGCGGAAATCGCCGCTGCACTCGAGAATATTGAGAATCAAAGACAGACTGGTGTCGAAGATACAGATGCGAACCGCAATAAATTCATCCAAGGCGAGAATGATATTGCTCAGATCGACGCTGAGATTGCAGAGCGGAAGCAACAGATAGAGCTTCTTAAAGTGGAAAGGACGCAATTGGAGGACGACAGGCGCGATGCTTCTCGAGTCCTCGCCCAGGCCGAGTTACAAGGGAAATCCCTTGCGGAGGGGCAATCAGCTGCTCAACAAGCCAAAGCTCGCCGTGAAACAGAGCTGAGCACCGTGCAAAATGCCATTAAAGAGCGCGAGGCGGAACTTAACAAGCTTACACCTCAATTCAATGCACTTAAGGAAGAAGAAGAAGTATCCAAAGCGAAATTGACCGAGGCCGAGACAACTCGCCAGAGGCTCTATGCTAAACAAGGCCGAATCTCCAGGTTCAGAAACAAATCGGAGAGAGATAAATGGCTACAGAAAGAAATTCAAGATACTTATACTTCGCTCTCAACCGTGAAAGCCGTTCGCATGCAAACAGCCGAGGAAATAACCGATTTGGAGAACGAAATCGCACTTATAGAGCCTGAGACCGAGAAGCTCCGAAAGCAATTCGATGGACGAGGCGACGCTATGCAATCTATGGAGCAAGAAGTCCAGCGGGCGAAAGATGAAAGGGATAGCCTGATGGACCAAAGAAAGTATGAACCCTAGACATACATACATACTCAGAATGATACCATGTTTCTAACGACTAAACAGAGAACTTTGGAGAGAGGAGGCTAAACTTGACTCGATCTTGTCCAATGCTTCTCAGGAAGTGGATCGTGCGGAGAGGAATCTTTCGCACATGATGGATCATAACACAAGCCGCGGCATCGCTGCAGTACGTCGAATAAAGCGACAATATAACCTTGATGGTGTATATGGAACGATGGCGGAGTTATTTGAAGTCAGCGATAGATATCGTACCGCTGTCGAAGTTACTGCTGGACATAGTCTTTTCCATTATGTTGTGGACACTGACGATACAGCTACGAAGGTATTGGAGATATTACAGAAGGAGAAGTCTGGCCGAGTAACGTTCATGCCTTTGAATCGCCTAAAACCTCGGCCTGCCAACCTCCCAAGGGCTAGTGACACCATTCCTATGATCGAAAAGCTCCAATATGACTCAAAATATGAGAAGGCTTTCCAACAGGTTTTTGGGCGCACAATTATTTGTCCGAACCTTCAAGTTGCATCTCAATATGCACGCAGCCATGGCGTCAATGCCATCACTCCAGAAGGCGATAGGTCGGATAAGCGGGGTGCACTGACGGGTGGTTTCCACGATTCTCGTGTGTCACGCCTTGATGCAATGAAGACTCTGACGAAGTGGCGTGACGAATTAGAAGCGAAGGGAAATCGGGGCGCTGAAATCCGTCGCGAGCTTGATAAGATGGACCAGCTAATCACAAGGGCTGTTGGTGAATTACAAAAGCTTGAGCAAAGAAGGCAGCAGATTCAAGGTAGCAACGCACCTTTGCGTCAGGAGATCAAAAGTAAACGGGACCTTCTTCATAATAAGGCGGATACCCTCGAAGCGAAACGTCGCGCGCTTAAGAATATCGAGGCGAACGTGAATGCCTTGACTGATCAAGTTAACGCACATGAAGAGGAATTATCTACACCATTCGAAAAGGCCTTAACCAACGATGAAGAGGCTCGCCTTGAAAACTTGAGTTCTGCGGTTCAGGATCTTCGACGCCAGCACTCGGAGTTATCGAGTAAGCGCAGTGAGATAGAAACGCGAAAGTCGATTCTAGAAGTTGAATTGCGAGAAAACCTCCATCCTAGGCTTGACCAGCTAATAGGCCATTATCTCGATGGGGGTGATGATACAATTCAAGGAAATTTGAAGGAAAGCCAGCGTCAGATTAAAAAGCAGAACAAAGAATTGGAGAAGCTCAATCGTCGACTAGAGCAATTAGAAGACTCCATCGAAGAGAAGAATAATGAGGCATCCCAACTTGAACAACGTAAGGCGGAAATCAGACGGGAACTTGATGAGCTTTCCAAGTCAATTGAGAGGCATCAACGGCGAATGGAGAAGAGCATGCAAAAGAAGGCGGCGCTAACAAAGCAAGCGACCGAATGCAGTGCTAATATCCGTGCCTTGGGTGTGCTACCTGATGAAGCCTTCACCAAATTTAAGAATGCCGACTCCAATACCGTCGTGAAACGATTGCACAAGGTAAATGAAGCGTTGAAAAAATACTCTCATGTCAACAAGAAAGCCTTCGAGCAGTACAACAACTTCACAAAACAGAGAGAGACGCTGATGAAGCGACGAGAAGAATTGGATGCGTCGCATAAATCGATTGACGAGTTGATCATGATCTTAGACCAGAGAAAAGACGAGGCAATTGAGCGAACGTTTAAACAGGTATCCCGCGAGTTTGCCAAAATATTTGAAAAGTTGGTTCCTGCTGGACGGGGCCGGCTTATTATCCAGAGGAAAACGGACCCTACCAATCGGCAGGATGATGATATTGATTCTGACGAGGAAGAAGCACGTCGTAGTGTCGAGAACTATGTGGGTGTCGGGATCAGTGTCAGTTTCAATAGCAAACATGATGAGCAACAGCGAATTCAGCAACTCAGCGGCGGTCAGAAGAGTATGTATAAATTCATATATACATGTATCCTGTATCGAAGTAGACTAATATGTCACGTACTAGGTCTGTGTGCCCTTGCGCTTGTCTTCGCAATCCAAGCATGTGACCCTGCTCCGTTTTATCTATTCGACGAAATCGACGCCAACCTCGATGCACAGTATCGTACCGCTGTGGCGCAAATGCTTAAGTCAATTTCGGAAGAAACAAACGGTCAATTCATCTGTACCACGTTTAGACCAGAGATGCTCCATGTTGCCGAAAAGTGCTACGGTGTCAGTTTCCGCAACAAGGCCAGCACCATTGATGTAGTGTCAAGAGAGGAAGCGTTAAAGTTTGTGGAAGAACAAAAGACCTAAATATGATGGTCGGCATCTTCGATCCCACTATTATCATCTTCTCTTTGCTGGGAGTTGAAGGGGGCACAGGCGTTCATCAGGGCGACTCCTTGACGATTGCAATGATGATGGATTGGGTTTCTTTCAAGTTTGCAGTCATATGTGTAATATACAATATCTAATTTGTAACACTGCGCGGTTTTACATGCATTCGATCGACAAGAAATAATGCAGGTAAATCTAAACGACTGGCGTAGGGATGGGCGCATTCTCCAAACCAACTGTAGGATCGCTGAGTTTGCGGGCCGGCTCTCCTGTCCATTCAAAAATAATCTCATCCGGAACACCACGCACGAGCACGTGTATATGTTCAAGGGATCTTACGCTTTGCAGCGCTGTCCAGTTCTTAAACCACATCACCCTTGCTTTTGCGTCTGGAAACTCCTCCTCCAATCGTACTACGAACGTTCTGTGCACAAATTCGTCGATCGACGTACGCGACTCGGGTGTAAGATCACCGCCAGTCTGTTCATCCACGGGTATTGCATTCTTGACCCATACAACTAGATGCGATATATCGGGCGTGACGCCATAGGGCCAGTCATTCCGGAGGATTCGGTAGTCGCGTGAATCAGCGAAGGGCGTCGGATCGACGCACTGTGTGGCAGGGTCCAGGTTGAGAGGCCATCGGAGACGCTCAAGGCAAATGTAATTGGTGATGGTGCCGTAGAGGGACTTTATGGCAGTTGACCAGGATATGTAATTGGCCAAGTCAGAGGGCTTCCGTTTGAACAAATGGAGGGAGTTGGTTGCTGTCCCCAGAGAGGTGCGGGAGTGGTTAGCAAGCAGTCCATTTCTTTGCGGAGCACTTCTTGACAAGAGGTGTTGAAATTGTTGGCGGCTGATAGAAACTGAGGAAAGGGTAAACCTATTATATCTTTCAGATTCTCCCAGTCATGGGAAATATATTCTTCGTCTGTTTGCGAGAGGATCTCTCGATCGAGCGCCGTCAGTTGAAAGGGAGCCGGGGCGGATTCCGGATCCGTCGGGACCTTGGGCATCCTCCCCACCCAGCCGCAGACAATTTTTCCCAAAAAAGCTTTGGGATCAATCAGCTCTGGAATTAGATCCAGGTGAGCAGCCCCCGCGATGGCGAAAAGCGTCCAGAGTCCGCCCGCATTCCACACCGAATCTGCGGCCCTGAGCTTCACGTGAGGTGGATAGGGCGGTCAGGTACGCTGTGGTTGGCTGGAAAACCCGCACGAGGAGCCTCGGGTGCGCTGACATAATCCGGCTTGCGGCGTCGTGTTCCGCTGCGAGTTCGGAATCAGTTCACTCTGCACGGGGAATATTTTTCCCAGATTGGTGCTCTGGTCCCGATTCGAAGTGCCATCCCGACACCCGTTTGCCCTCTCTCTCGCTCGACAATACTAAAGAAACGACTTCGCACAATTCCTTTTTCCCCTAGCTGGAAAATCGCGAATAATTGAAACGAGGTCTGCCAAAATGAGGTACGTGCCAAGCTACGATCGAAAGAGCCAAAGCTCCCAACTAATTTGTTGACTATCCCGCAGCTCTTGGACGTCAAAGGAGAATATTAACGGGGTGTATATCCCGTCCGCCCTACTGATCTTCGGTACCACAATCATCAAGAAGGAATGGATTGCGTATGCGACAGCTCTTGCTGTTGTCCTTTCAGCGTGGAAATTATTCAGTAACAGTGAGTCTCATGCTTGGTTGTTTGCGCCTCTCCACGGTATTAATTGCAATGCTGTATAAAATAGAGCCGCGAAAAGTTTTAAATCCCACGGAGTTCCAAAACTTTGTCCTCAAAGACAAGACTATTGTCTCCCACAATGTCTGTATCTACCGCTTCGCTCTCCCAAGACCAACCGACATCCTCGGCCTTCCCATCGGCCAGCACATTTCTCTTGCTGCCACAATCCCTGGTCAGTCGAAGGAGATCGTGCGCTCCTACACTCCCATCTCCTCTGATGACGATGCGGGCTACTTCGATCTTCTCGTCAAGTCATACCCACAAGGAAATATCTCCAAACATTTGACTACCCTCCGCATTGGCGATAAAATGAAGGTTCGTGGACCAAAGGGTGCCATGGTCTATACTCCAAATATGGTCCGTCATATCGGTATGATTGCTGGTGGTACCGGTATCACTCCCATGCTCCAGGTCATCAAGGCTATTATCAAGGGAAGGCCCCGAAATGGGGGCAACGATACTACTCAGATCGACCTTATCTTCGCCAACGTGAACCCAGATGACATTCTTCTCAAGGAGGAATTGGATCAGCTTGCCAAGGAAGACGACGCTTTCCGCATTTACTACGTCCTTAACAACCCACCAGAGAAATGGAACGGTGGTGTTGGCTTCGTTACTCCAGATATGATCAAGGTTTGTTTTACCTTTTGTTCCTAATTTTCTCAAGACCCCCTTGGGGGCAATGCGAGCTTCTATGATAAGCGATGCTAATCAGTTCTTTGTCAGGCTAAACTCCCTGCTCCGGCCGGTGATATCAAGGTTCTCATTTGCGGACCTCCCCCCATGGTCAGCGCCATGAAGAAGGCCACCGAGTCCCTCGGATACAAGAAGGCCAACCTCGTTAGCAAGCTTGAGGACCAGGTCTTCTGTTTCTAATATATTTCAAACCACTACTATTAAGTCACGGGTTCGAATAACATAGATTCGGTTATCTACATAGATCCGCTCACATCAGAAGAGTGAATAGGGTCGTTTCCGGAGTGCCACAGAGCGCACAGGTAATGAATAATTGCATCTCGCAAAGCATTATTAGCGGGTTGTTTATGGAGTATGTGGATGCAATGACAGCGTCAGGTGTATACTATGTATTTAGTATCGATTTCGGAGTAGATTTGTTTTCAATCAAAAGCCTAAACTTCGCCCATCCCGACACCTCCCATTGAAAAAAAAAAAAAAAAAAAGAAAAAAAAGGGCCAGAAAGACAAAAGGATTGATCACGTGATATTCTGCCAATTCTGCCCCCGAGAGTCACTAAATTTGACCGCCTTGAAAAGTTGACTGCTGAACCAAGGGATGAAAAAGTGAATCAGAGTTTGGGCTTTATAGATATCAATAAATTGAATGTCCAATATAAAATCTGAATGCGCCAGCCGCTTGTTCAAAGCGCGTACTCTCTCGGCGCTGCGTTCTACTTCCGAAAGCTTACTCACGCCTGTCGCGTAACTTTTTATCCCTCCCAATTTCTCCGCCGCACCCCGCCATTTGCATCAGATCACTTGAACTACTCATCAACTCGAGAATTATCGTCTCGCCCGTCTCCAAGACTGCAGGCGCCCTCCACAATGGCGGCAGACGGTGTTATTCCTGCAGTAGCAGAGCTTTCTGTCCATGATACCACCAGCGAAGTCTCGAAATATCCCAATTGTTACCCCACCTTAAACCCGGTTGATAAATACCGAGCGCATATTGCTGAGTTGATTGGGCCGATCGTGGGAAAGGAGCCGGAGTTTGTTTATACTCGACTTCAATGGACGAATACTTTAGATAAAGGCGATTTACTTCTGGCGGTATGGAGTTCTAGCACCTAGACATGCTTTTTATTTTTTCGGGGAGAAAGGTTTTTCTTTCAGTGTTTGCTGATTTGGATTGGATTATCCTCTGGTATAGGTTCCCGCTCTCCAGATAAAAGGCAGGAAACCAACAGATTTAGCTGAGGAAATTGCCGCGAAGTTCCCTCAGTCGGACCTCGTCGAATCTCCCAAGGCTGCCGGAACACACTTGCAGTTCCACTTCCGCGCTCAACCTTTGATACATACTGTCATCCCTTCTATTCTTGAGAATAAAGCGACCTATGGAACAAATGCGAATATCGGCCTACGCGATCCGCGGGATCCCAGCAAGGGGAAGAAACGAATCGTTGTGGAGTTCTCCTCTCCAAACATCGCAAAACCATTCCATGCGGGACACCTGCGAAGTACGATCATTGGTGGTTTCCTGGCGAATTTATACAGAATCATGGGGTGGGACGTCATCAAGATGAATTATCTAGGAGATTGGGGCAAGCAGTACGGCCTGCTGGCTAATGGTTATAAAATGTATGGAAATGAGGAGGAACTTCTCAAGGATCCCATCAACCACCTGTTCGAAGTCTATGTCAAGATCAACAAGGACGTCGGTGAACAAGAAGGGCCCATTAAGGAGCTAAAAGAGCAAATTAAACTAAAGAAGGAAAAAGGTGAAGACGTTGCGGCGTTGGAGAAGGAGCTCGAGACTCTTGTTGATGCCAGTTGGGACGAAAAGGCTCGTCGGTACTTCAAGAGTATGGAAGACGGTGATGAGGATGCCCTTGCTCTGTGGAGACGGTTCCGTGACCTGAGTATTGAGAAATACAAGCAAACTTATGCTCGCCTCAATATCGACTTTGATGTCTACTCTGGTGAATCTCAAGTGAAACAGGAGAGCCTGTCTAAGGTTTACCAAACCATGCAAGAAGAGGGTGTGTCAGAAGACTCAGAGGGAGCCATTATTGTTGACTTTACCAAACATGGAGCCAAGAAGCTAGGAAAGGCCATTGTTGTCAGAAAAGACGGCACTCCTCTATACTTGACTAGAGATATTGCAGCTATCTTCGAGCGTGATGAGACGTTCCACTTCGACAAGATGCTTTACGTTGTTGCTGCTCAACAAGACCTTCATCTAGCGCAATTGTTTAAGACCGTGGAGCTGATGGGCCGGAAGGATCTTGCCGAAAGATGCCAGCATATCAACTTTGGTATGGTTCGTGGCATGAGCACCCGAAAAGGAACGGTTAAGTTCTTGAACGATATTCTCAAGGATGTCGGTGACAAGATGCATGAGGTGATGAAGAAAAATGCTGTCAAGTACGAGCAGGTGCAGAACCCGGATGAGACGGCCGACACTCTTGGCATTACGTCCGTGATGGTGCAGGACATGAGTGGAAAGCGGTATGTATACCTTTTTTTACCCCCTTAGCTTAATGTAAACTCAAACGCTAACACGTTGTGTATCAGTATCAACGGCTATGAGTTCAACCTTGAGGATATGACCTCCTTTGAAGGTGATACGGGCCCATACCTTCAATACGCTCATGCCCGTCTATGCTCAGTGAACCGAAAAGCCGAGATCGATCCGTCAGTCCTCGGCTCTGCAGACTTGTCTCTTCTAACCGAATCACATGCCGTCGACCTTGTCAGATTATTGTCTCAGTGGCCTGACGTCGTCCTTAATTCTATGAAGACGCTCGAACCCACTACCATTATTACATACCTCTTCCGCATGACGCATACATTGAGTTCCGGATATGACACGTTGAAGGTCGTTGGTAGCGAGCCGGAGCTGAAGAAGGCGAGAATGGCGTTGTATCACTGCGCGAGACAGGTGCTAAATAATGGAATGAGACTGTTGGGATTAAATCCTGTCGAACGGTATGTTATTCCCTGCCTGCCTTAGTTTCTTAAAGCAAGAATGAGCTTGGCTAACTGTTGCTCTAGAATGTAATTCCGTTCATTTCCCCCTCATTATTTTGTATCTTTCCTTATACCTCTCTCCATGCGAAATCTTTGCGTTGCATCAGCTCAAGTCGGGATCTGGATTTAATGGGCCTCTAAATTCTTTTTGTTTAAGAGTAAAAGTAGAGTAAATGACAAACAACAATGTTTCAAAGCCCTATCTTTTTGTTTACATCATAAGCATTCTCTTTGCTACATGAAGGGTGAGGCTCTGGTGCAAAGAGAGTATTGTACTATCACAAGTACCTGTTGTCTCTGATTTATGCCCTAAACCACCCCACCATGGTACATTAGTTAACAGTCTAGCCTGAGGCAGTCCCCAGTAAGTAAGCATGTACGGTATATCAAGCACTTCTTGGGTGAAGTGGGGTGAGAGAGAATTTGCCTCTTGACAGGTTACTCTGCTGGCGGGCAGGGTTAAGCTCTATCGAAGACTTACATATATCAACCTACCAGAACCCTGTCAAACTACAGGGTGAATTTTCTTTTTCTTTTTTTCTGAAAGGATTTCCTAGTGGGGGTCTCAGCCAACGACCCTCAAATGGGGTAGGTTGATGTATTATGTTTCCCCAAGTTTCCGGCCCATTATCACATTCCAATTGCGAGCTTCAACAGCGCACAAGGCAAGAAGCTCATCCGAGGTTGGCTCAGTAAAAGAGTTACAAAGGGGAGGAAAGGCAGGACTACTTCTTTTCATTATTATTATTTGCTTCTCCCATCTCTCTGTACGGAGTATGTATGTAATAAATTAGCTTCTTTTCTTTTAGTTTTTTTATTTTTTATTTTTTTATTTTATTTTATTTTATTTTATTTTTTTTTTGGTAGCCATCGATAGTGGCTAATACTTTTGACAGCCCAAATGAGGGGCCGATCCGCAGCATGTATGAAATCATAATACACATGACGGGTCCCCGGGGGCTTTTCGAGAGGGGCAGATTTGGCATGATTGGTGTCCGGATCTGGGAGCGGAATTGGCACCTAATCTGGCCCACAGGGTAACAAGCGGCATTTAGGGGCGGAAATTGGGGGTTCATGGAGGGGCAATCTGCTGGGTAGTCTGGCGCGGCTGGGAGGGGTAACTAAATATTTCGCGGGAGCGATGATGATGATAGTGTCTTTTTTGCTTGTCCAGTCGAGTATGACGAAATCTTGAGCATTGGGTATTCTGAGCCAACGAGGGTGGTTGAATTGGCGGGATTGGACTGTTGCCTGGCTGATGGGAGCACGGAGTATGGATTTTCTTCTTGTGTAATCCGTACGCCAGTCTGCCTGTACTTGCTTGCTGGCAGTCGAGCTGGAGCGGGCCTTGGATGAGTGATGACCATGGCCGGGGAAGAGAGCAACCCATTTCCGGAGCAATTCCAGTCCAACAGCCCCTCCATGGTGGCTTCGAAGGAATAAGAAAATTTTTTTTCTCTGGCAACCACAGATGGACATCCAGTGGATGGATGGTCTGTGACATCCTTGACGCTGCGTCGGATCAGGCCCATCATTGCTACTGTCCAAGTCAGGACGAGTGTGACTTATTGAAACGAAAGGTCCTGGTGTAATTTGACCTTGGGAGAATGCGAAAGGAAACAAAGAAGGGAGGATGGATGATCGAATACGAAGAGATCTGCTGATAAATCGATCTTATGGATCGGGGTGGTGATACAGAGGACACACTTCCACCCTTGAGTTCCGCTTGAATCGCAGCGGGAGAGATCTGGGTTGTGTTGGACAGCAGGGTCATCAGCGGCAGTTTCATAGACATCCATTGTACTGGACATCGAGACAAGCGACAGCTGACGGGCTGCTGCTAATCCGCCTGTCAATGGATTTTCTTTTGGTCTCTGAATTAATTTTCTTTTCACTCTTTCACTTGACCAGCCTTAGCCCTGGCATGACGCACGCAGCCGCAATCCAAAGTCATGTTATTGGGCAGGAAAGGTCACCTTCCAGGCCCATTGGGCAGCAAAAATAGCGAAACCATTTTTTTTTTCCCCTTCCCCCCGATCCCCTCGGCCAGGATGAAGTGGGTGAAGAGTGCCTTTTTCCCGCCGAGCTTTTCGCGATTCCTTGGAATCTCTTTGGCTGATCTTTCTCCTCGAGGGGTGAGTCACCTGAAATTAATTAATACCTGCGGTTCCTGAACTGTGTTTGCCAAATGGTTACGTTCCCGGCTCCTGGTTGCAATCCGATTGTATCCCGTGGCTTTTAGAATCGCGCAGCAGCAAATAGGCCCCCTTTTTCAACAGGTAACAATCAAGACCAACGCTGCCTCGTTCTTTGTCGAATTGAAATCCTCTTCGAATTTAAAAATAACAAAAGGCCATGGAGTTACTCCCTAACTTACGTAGATTTCGTCTGAGCAGGTGTCGAGCTGTCACTCTAGGTTGTCCCTGCGCCACAACCCTTGGTGATAGAAGACAAAAGCCAGCGGTCTTATCGCGAGTTAGTTAAATAGCGGACGATAATTTCGTAATTAAGGACCGAAATGCCCCTGTAACTGACCTGTTTGAAGCAGCGCTTTTCTATACTTTTTTCATTTTCTGTCCCATCAGAGTTTTCCGGCGATTGTTAAGCCTGATTGTCAGCCGGGAAAAGTACCTTTCATCCCATCTTCTCCTTCTTCCTCTTCCTCACCTGATCTCCTTGTCTGTTCCCGTTGAATAAGGGACTTGTTTCTGGTAACTATCCACGACTTTTGACCGGGAAATCATGGCGGCCTAGCCTGCAGCCAACGGTCTCTAAGTTATAGGGAGCGCAAGCGTCGCCCATCAGCACGACTCGCCCACTATGAAATGCATCATGTGAGCCCGCGTCGCCCAATATTCCTTTTCTTCTGTTGCCCGCTCGCTTCTCTCTCCCTCTCCCTCTCTCCCTCTCTTTTTTTTATTTTATTCTCTTCTCTTTATTCTCTGCTCCTGTGCGAGTAACTTTTTTTCTTTACCTCCTTCATTCAGCGAAGCAACCCTCGGTGTCTAACAAAAAAGAATTTCTCCCCCCACCAAGAACAGCGCCTTAATAATTTCCTCCGAAGCGCCTCTCTCTTCATCTCCGTAGTTACCCACGAAAAATAATTTATTGTTCCGCCAGCCCAAACCGTCTCAGTTTCATTTCGACCGGTCTGCCCGGCACCGTCTCTTCCCTCCGGCTCCCCATCGCCCATCCTTATCATTTCCATCCCTTCGAAGGCTCTACGTCGCCTGATCCCAGTCGTTTATTCCCCGTTCCACCCTCCTCCGTCGCTGTTCGTCGCACAAAAGTTCGGCTTAACGACCACTTGTTGCGGCATCGGTGTCCTCCCGCAAAGGACCACCACAGAGCGTTTCCTTCACCGACCAAGATCGCGAATCATCTCGGTAGCATTCTTACCTGGTCCGCCGTCCGATCCCGTCTGCATACGCCCGCCTCTTGGTGCCAACTCTTCTCCCTCTATCCCCCAGGATCCACGATCATATCCGAAATTTTATTTTAACTATTGGATCCTCAGCCGACATTCCCAGTTCGTCACATCCATATTTGTCATCCCTAACGAGTCGAGAGCACTGCGCCAATACCTTTACTTCTTTGCAGGAAGTTTATTAGCCCCTGTGATCTGAGCGCAGGAATTGCACGTTTTGCAATTTGTCTGACCCTCAAATTCGAACAACTCCTTTCTCGTATTTCTTCGCGCAACCTTCTCCCTACCTCCCTCTCCGTCTAAATCGACGCTCCGGACTTACTCTCTCGGTGTAAATCACTCACCGTTCCACCTCGTTGCTTGCTGCTTTCTCGGTGCCGGCAACATCCTACCTCACCCGATCAAGCCTTTGACAATTCGATGGAGCAATTGACCCCTTCTGTGGATTCTATATCAGAATTGAAATTTCGAGCGAGCGTATACAGGTGAAGGTCCCTGCGAAATCGGATAACAGCTTGGGTTTTGCATATTGGAAACCGAAGACAATACAAACTCTCTGGCGCAAGAAGGAGGAACAGGCAACTGGAAACTCGGTCGTGGATTGGGGAGAGCGAAAGGACCGAAAATTTTTTTTTTTTTAAAAAAAAAAAAAAAAATAAAAATAAAAATACAAAAAAGAAAACCCATCGCCAAAATTATTATTTTCGGCCTAGAATCGACAACAACATCCGAGCGTGCATTCTTTAAATAACTTTCGAGCATCAAAATTGAAAAACGGCCGTTTGACGTGTCAACATTTGAAGTGTGGTGACTGGCTCACTCCCTCAAGTGTTATTCGACGGTTCCGCCCCTTTTGCCCCATCTTGGGCCAAAAAGTCACAACCAGCGGATAATCCCGAACTTACCAAAACACCCTTGCCTGGACCCACCCAAGAGGCACGACCTCCCCGTCATGTCGCCCAGACCCTCATATCAAACATACGCTGCCTTTTGCGAAGAGTTTGACGAGGACGCCAACGTTGTCTTACCGGGGACCCGCAAGGTTGCCAACGTATCAGTGAAGCGATCCCGCCCTGAGCTCGCTCCCTCCGGCCCTAGCGTCGACGGTGCCAGCGATTCTGGCTACTCGAGCAGAACCGCCATAACTGTGGACAGCGGTGACTCCTTCGCTAGTGGCACTGTGAGCCCTACTTTCCCCCCATTGGCTACTTCAGCTCCGACTCGTGATATCGCTCGCTTCCGAGATCGAGTCGAGGGGAAAGAAAAAGATCGTTCTGGAAACAAAACCAGAGAGAAGAAGGAAGGGAAAGAAAACAACAAACCGCCCCCGCCACCGCTCCCACCCATCAAAACCATGCCTGTCGCTTCCCCTCGAAGCTCAAGCAGACCCCCTTCTCTGCAAAAGGGGCCGTCGAAGCCTGGCAAACGGGACTCAGGCGGTGCCAGACATCATCCAGGTACGTGCTGGGACTGTGATCAGTGGGGACTTCACCAAGCAGCTCTAGCTGGGAACGTCGACCTACGAACCATGGAGTCAGCCAACTATTTTCAACCTCACCCCCCTCATGGGTACGAGGTTCCCCCGTCGCCTCAGACTTCACGATATCCACCTTCTATCAACCAAGAAATGCATCCTGGTACTCCTATCATACCGCAACCTCGCCCTCATCGTTCGAACTCTTATCACACCCAGAACAGACCGGTTAGCTTCCACTCTGGAACGGTGCCGGATATGAACATGATGTATATGTCCATGGGCCATCCGTCTGCCTACGGCCATGGACCCCCTCTTTCGGCGTCCGCATATTCAAACAGTTTCTACCCTTCCTCTCCATATATGGGCGGTGAGGTCACGGTTCACCAGTCTCCCACCCCATCCTATGAGGTCGCCCCACGGTCATCCTACGAACGTCCCAGGGAGCGCCCACGCAACAAATCAGCATCGAGACCTCCTACTGAGAAGCCATCGGGCAGAAGGCCGTCGGTTTATAAACGGCCTGTTGTGGAATATCATAATTCTCCTTCAACCCAATTTGAACCGGAAGAATACGAACCAAGACCACCTCCGGAACGCCGTGCTCGCCGGCAATCTCGCTCCTATGACCCAGACGAAGACTATTACCGCATGGCACCGCCCCCAAATCCTCCGGTGAAATACAAACAGCCAACTCAAGTCATTCCAGTTAACAAACGCCCTCCAACTCGAAAAGCAAGCACTACTTCCTCCACTCCAACCATCCATCGGACTGAACCGTATGATATGTCGGACATGCGTGCTGCACTCCCACCTCGAATGGGACGTAAACAGTCGCGTGATCCGGTCGTCGAATCTGAACGTCGACCCAGCATCCCCGCTCCGGCAAGGGAGAGGCCTCCTCGAGCGTCATCGTATTACGATAACGGCCCAAGAAGAATCGTTGTGGAAAATTCGCGTCGCCGTCGCTCGTCGATCTATGCAAATGAACAGGCACGCGAAATGGAAAAAAAACAGCGTGATGCCGAAGACTACCAGGCACGAGCGGGAAGGACGGCACCGTTGACGGCGGAGGCTCTTCGCAAAGTAAGAGCTAGCCACCAGAGGGTCGAAAGTGACAGTGAAAGTGACGAGACTTCGTCCGAAAGCAGCCATGAAAGTGACACTCACACTAAGACCGGAAGTGGGGTTGGCAGCGGAGTAGGGAGCGGCGTTGGCTCTCGAGCTGATGATGATAGCATTACCATGATTTTTCGTGGCGTCAAAATTGATCTTTCTGGTGATACTATGGACAAGCGGATTAATCTTCGATCAGGTGACGAAGGAGGCCTGGAGGTGAACATTGAAGGGAGAAGAGGGCCACGGCGATATATAATGTCACGATCTGATACCACCAGCTTGGCCGGCAGCAGAAGAGAGATTGAAGATGTTCGACGCATTCGAGACGATATGAGATCTGAACGAGAGAGTCGACACTCGAGCCGATCAGGTTACAGTGGTCGTGGCCTGCTTGAGTAAACCCCACTACCCTTGAGCCCAACTTCGATTCAACATGGGTTATCAGAAGGTTCAACATAGTCCTTTCGGAGCATTTTTTTAACAACCTATCCCCCCCTTTTCTTTTGGGAGCGAATGAAAATAGCATCACTCAGCGTGGCAAAGCTTGCCACAGAGGAAATCGCTCTGAAAACATCAAACAACAAAATAAATAAATAAAAAAACGGAGTCAAGCATTCAGGGACAACCTTCGACCAATAAACTCGGGAATGGTTATACAAAAAGGCAAAAAACCGTATGGGAGGCTATGTGTGTTTTTAATCCGACATTAAAAGTTGAAAAATTTTGGTATCCATCGCGTTTCCCCCTTTTCTTCATTTTTCCAGCAATATCACCCTCCATTTTCTTTTCTTTTCTTTTTTTTTATCTTTCATATCCATGCATGTATCGAGCCCAATCTGGTGTGTGTTTCCATCTGCGTATTATTTCTGTTTTGGCATACTTCATTTGCATTACCCCATTGCTAGCACTCTAACACATGTATCTGCTTTTGATGTTGATTTGATGTGGAATGCTATGATCTGTACGATTGTTTATGACGTGATGGATTCACATTGTTGATGCTGCATGTTGCATTTTTTTTGGACTTTTTCTTTTGGATCTTTTTGTTCTTGGTTTGAATGTATTTACATTTTGTTCGAATTTGCCCATACCTACACATCCCCTCTGTTATGCCCAATGCGATATGACTACTAGTTATGCCTCTTTTCCATTTGAAGTTTTGTCACTTCCGTTTTGTTTGCTGAACTTGTGCCTTCGCGATCGATACATTGATAGCTTTACTTGCTGCCTAGCTTTATTCTACTTCTGCGAACGCGTCTTTGAATGAGATTCTCGAGCTGATACCCTTCTTACTTACTGGTTTTATTGCCTCTCTACGTAGTTCAGCTTCTTTTTCTCCGTCTTTTTTTGGATCAACAGTACAGTTTTGAGCTTTGAAAACATTTTGGCATTCTACAAATATGTCCGAATTCCTTGGGGAATACTAGCGTGTCAAGAGTCGGTGGTTTCACTATCGTTTCAACACCGATGGGGGATTTCGTCTTCCGAAGAACTGGTTTGGTACCTTTTTGAGATTTTATATTGGCCTGCATAAATTTTTCCGGTGGGGTTTTTCTCTGTTTCGACTGCTCGATCTTCGACATCGCTCTTTGGGTGCGATCTGATGCATCGAGCAGACTGTGGGGTCGATCTCCACCTGATAGGGCTTAGCGGCCCTTTTAAGCCTTGCCAAGCACTGACGGTTTGGTCAACAATCACGTGGTAGTGCGATGACATAATACACGTTGCCCGTGACAACGAATCAGAGTAAACAAAAGCGGCAACTCCTCCCAGCCTCGCGATTTAATATCCAGCACAGGACAGTCGGCGCTTTGGGGGTCGACGGTTCGCGGGCTGCCAACGACCAATTTTTCTTTTTTTGATCTCCCTCCTGATACTCCCAGTCTTATATTTCTAGCGAATCTTGATATTTTGACGGATGTCGTCTTCCATATCATCGACGGGCGAATCACCGTTCCATTCGTTTTGATGAGCGCAACGACGAGCTGTTAACGACGCAATCGGTGTTAATATTTAAGGGAGGTAGATGGGAGCAATCTTTATATGTTACCACCTCTAACTGCTAAACTGAATCTGTTTTCTTTTCCCAACTCCAGTCATTTAGACTGGAAATCCGTTAGCTATGGCACCAATCCCTCCGAATTCTCGCGATGAGCGACCCCAAGTAAATTTGCGAGGATTTCTCCTCGAAACGCTGCATGAAGCTAAACGCCCAATCACCGAAAGACGCGCTCTACCTCCTTCTGACCTTGATATGGCACACGGACTGGTTGCTGCCGCCGCCTCCTCCTCCCCGATGGAGGTTTCCCGTGTTCTCACAGCCCGGGCCGAAGATAATACCAAGTTCCATCCTGGGGAGGGCGCAGTGGATCCTGGCAACATTAACATGCAGGGTCTTCTTGCGCTGTTTGCGATCATCGGGGCCGCTTTCGTTCTAGCGGCTATATGGTTCTTTTTCTGGGCGAAGAATGGTGGGTTCGTGTGGCGCGAGGGGGATTGGGAGGAATATAAGTCTACCGTATTACGTCGGAAAGATTCGAACGGCCGCACGCTCACAAATGCTTCGAAGAGCACGGATCTAGGTGGTGGTAGTATTGTGGGGAGAGGCTATCGTGATTATGACGACCATACGACGACGGTGGATACGGAAACTGTAGCAACGGGCGAGAAACTGAGCCGAGGAAAGAGGCTGAAAGAGACTGCAAAACAGAAATTACTAAGAAGACACAAAGACGAGCAATGGGAAGGAAGTCATGACGAAGACATGCGTGCGTATCGCCATGAAAAGCCAGCGAGAGTAGGAGGGATGAATCGCGAGCCGGAAGGCACGTATCATAGCTCAGAGTATACCGGCACGCTTGGGCAAAGGAGTGAATGGACTCAGAGCGAAATGGGTGAGACCCATGGGGAGACTGCAACACGTTACGATGCAGAGACCCGCTACGATATACCCGATACCGACAGGGCACCAAATAGAAATGTATCGGGCTTCTCGTTCACTGCTGGGGAGAAAGATACCATTAGCCACATAACGGAAGAACACCAGCTTCGTGACTCGATGCACCGCCGGGATAGCCGTCGACAGAGCCGCTCCAGAAATTCCCAGCGTCCACGTGGCCCACGACCCAGCACGGGTGCGCATTCACGACACACTAGCCCCCGTAAACGCGATCGGTCCGCGATACCGGGTGGGTACACCACACCATTGGACATGTCATCGATCAGTGCATCGGAATACGTGTACGATCAGCTCGAAGGCTGCGATGCGGGTGTTAAGACGTACCATCGTCCCATCCCGGGTTTAAGCAAGGGATATAGACGCGCAGGAAGTGGCAGGGGAGGGCGGAGAGATAGTTTGAGTGACAGTGAAGGGGATGATTATGATAGTCGATTGTCTTGAGAGGCGAATGTCAGCTTACACGGATGGGGTGGCTATTTGGCAAATATGGTAATTTGGCTTGCTTTGCGATTTATTTGGCATCGAACATATCTTCTTTTGGTCTGGCATCATGTGGACGATGGATGAGTTAGGAAGAACGACTGGTTCGGATGCGGCTCCCGAGTGGCGTATCGGTGACTACTGTATATGTATGGAGTATTTCGAACCATGGGTCAATTTCATGCAAGACATACATACTTTGCAGGTCTTCGCTTTCCTGGGACACAAAAATGTGATGTATTCGATTTGTCTTGGAACATTTCTTTGGTCGCGGCTGATAATGCCAGCGGCTCACTCCATAGCAGAAATGGGGAGGATTTGTAAACCGTAGATCCACTAGTCCCAATACAGTTACATCAGAATATACATTTATCCAAATCCACAGTTGTTTGGAAGTTTAAAAATATATATGTTCTGAATTCAGAAATGTAGCTTCTGATCCTCAACATAGAAATCAGGAAATGTTGAAACCCCTGATCAATGAATATATCTAGAAACATTCAGGATACCTTTTTGGGTTTATAAATGTGAAGAGAAACCATTATAGTATAGAAACCATTATAGTATAGAAACCATTATAGTATAGTTACCTGAGCAGACACTGAAGAGAGAAATTAGATTTTAACTAATGCACAATACTATATACATTAAACTGCCTGATCCATCTATAAAAAGGAAATGCTTCAAGTACAGTTGAGAAAGATAGTTAGCAGAGCAGAATCTAGTTTAAGTCTTTTGAAATCTTTGCTAACAGATATAGTGTAAAGGCTTGGTTTGCAGATTGCAGATAGACTGATTATATGAATCTTATTCTAATTCATCTGTAAAATCAGCAAATCCAGTACTCTCTCATACTGAATTTCATGAGCAGAGAACATGACAAAAAAAACTCTCCAGCAGCTGCTCTGATTGTGAGTGAATATGCATCTTATTTGTCTAATCTTGATGCCTGATGCACAAGTATACTCAACCAGATCATCAAGTTTTAATATAGTGCAATGCACATCTTTATTGAATATAAAGATTAGCTTTTGAAATAATTGAATTAGAGTTGAATTTTTATCAAGTATATATTGATATTCCCAATTACTGCTGTATGAAAGTCAGAGCTTTTGCAAAAAGAAATGCATAACTAGTAGTTTGAAAAGCCACACATTTTGTAAATCAAGTAATTCCATGACTTTATGGCTAGCTGGTAGTCAGCAGTAGGCATTGATTAAGATATAGAAGAGGGTGGTAGCATATAAATCATCAGCTTCATCAGCATTCTTATTATCATCTTGTTGCTTATTGTGTTCCAATCACATAAGATCTTGCATGAGAATCAGATATTCACAATGAAGTTGCTTTATCTGACTGGTGATATAGAGTTTCAATTCCATAAGAGTCCCATCAAGAGTCAAGAATATAGTGCATTTAAAGCTCTTATAAATTAGTAAAATCTTTTCAACATCATACTTGTTGATTCACTGCACAAATACTTTATATTTACAGTGTCTATCCTTCTCAATCAGTATATTGCAGTTATTTGGCACAGTATACTTCTTTGCCTGATTAGCATAGTACACTCTAATATGCATGTTTGGTCAGTGTTTCAAAGCATGTAATATCTTATCTGCTTTCAGAGCTATACTGACAGTATTAATTGAAATATTCTCTGTCAGAGATGTAACAATTGATTGAATACTGATGAATTCTGTTATAATCTCAGCATTCATACTGCCCAGCTAGCCAACTGTAGTGTCTTGATAGTTATGATAGTAGCATCTATTACTTTCTGAAGCATAGTTTGAGCATTGGCAACCACACTTTTAAGTTCATTGTACCCAATAGATGTCTGAGAAGTTAATAGTAAATTACTTCTTGCAATAGCACTAAAGATTTTAGCAAGCAACAAATATAGAATATCAGAATTAATTGACTGTTCATTAAAGAAGTTATAGAGAGTTTGCTGAACAACAGTCTGAATTTAGTCAGACTTTAGAGCAAAGTAAAGTATAATTAGAATTACAATTAAAGCTCAAGCATGTTTCTGAATTTGATAGAACTTCAGATGGATAATTGAGAACTGCAGTCAGGTCTAGTATCTCTAAAATAGAAATCTCTGTAGAGTTTGGCAGTATTTCTTCTGCTTCTCAGATGTTAATATATATAATATCAATAATATATGTGCAATTTTGGACAGGCCTGAAAATTCACTATAACAGAGATCAGAGAGAAAAAATATCACCAGATTCAGTACTAGACAGATCTTCAAAATCAGAAGACTTTTCTTGACCAATTTATAGGTCTTCCACAATGCTTCTTGCTCTCAAACAGTCCACTTCATCTTAATTTCAGTCTGCAAATTGAGTAACTGGTAATGGTATCAGCCACATTTCATCAAGTCAAAATTTATATTGAACCTCTTCACATCAGAGATAGTACAGCTTTAACAGAAGACTGTTGCAGTAGAGTATTTAATTTCAGTATTGTTATTTTGTTGCAGCATGTTATCAAGATAAGTAATACAAGAAGCAATGACTCTGACAGTTTCTTCATCAGTTATCATAATATCAAATTCTTTTTCAACTGCTTGTAAACCAGGAGCCAACATCTTCACAACATCAGAAAAATTTGTAGTATGAGACTTAAGAGTAATTATATATACATTATTTTATTATCTTCTTTTGGAATCATTAAGTCCTGCAGAAATTATATAGAAGTCAGTTATATTTCAGTACATGTTCCAATATAGACCAAATTCATTAATAAACAGCTGGAAGAGAATGAATATAGTTCTCTTGATAGAGTTGCCTGAGCAAAGCATCTTGATCAGTATATCTCTCTCATATGCCACAATTTCCAGTTCACCCTGAAGCAGAGTGCTAAGTCAGAGCTCTTGTACAGATGATATATCATAAATTGTATTCATCACTTACCATACAAAGAGCCTATTTGTTTCTGAGGATTTATAGCTACACAATTCATTAAAGATGTAGTCAAGATAGACATCCAGTCAGACTAGAATATTGTCTTCATATATAATGTGAGTTTTCTAATCTTTCAGTAAGAGCAGCTCATTCAGGCAAAGTAGAGGTCTCAAAAAATAAATTCTTTTATCAAAGCTGTTGGCAGTAATAGTGTACTGGACAATAAGAATAATTTCATCAGATTTTGTGCAGACCAGTCTCCAGTTCCAACCCATAAATTAAATTCTTTCAATATGAATTTCTTGTTTACTTCAAGTGCATCTACATGCAGCATTATTGCACCTGAAATAAACAAAATCAGAAGAAAAGACTGGTGTCTCATCAGAGTATCATGTAAAGTCACCCAACAAACATCTAATAAAGCTCCCCCAGCTTCATGATTACCATAATTCAGTCAGGTTGTCAACTAGATCAGCCATATCAATATGTATCTTCTTGCAAAATACAGGAGATCTTGCCAGTAATGATAAAAGAGCCACAGAATCCTGAAAGAATAAATTAGATATAAGAGATGTCTGTATTAGTTACTTCTCAGTAAATGAAAGAGTTGGCATTTTCAATAAAACAGCCAGTATGGATGTTTATTAGATGGAAAGTATAGAAAATTGAGCTCTGCATTTCTTCTTCAGCATGCTCAGCCCCAATAATAGAGATCTTAGTGTACTAATATCTTTGGGAATCTGTAAGACTTCCTGCAGTGCCTTATAGTGTCAGCAAGATATTTCTGATTTTTCACACTATAATTCTAAAACAAGTATGAAGTGGTCCAGCATTTCATCAGACTCCACACACACATGGACTAGAATCTCCAACAGGTTATTTATTGTAGTCAGAATGTAGATCTCAGCTGACTGATTGTCCAATGAATTCTCTAGTTGTGAATGAAAATCAGAATCTTTATTATCAACCAGATATACTGGATATAACATAGTCTATAACCAGAGTTCAGATTCAGGCTCTTTATACTGTTGTGATTCATTGTTATTAACTGATTCCATGGGTAGAGCTGCTACTGCTTCTTGTATAATCTCCTGCATTCTGATATCTTCTGGTTCAGAATGAGTGTCAGATAGAGCATCAGATAGAGTATCAGAGATATCTGAAAGACTTGCTGCATTCTGTACACAGTAATTAGAATGATGCAGACTGACAGAGAATTCAAGATCTTATATTTAACTCTGACTTCTCAGTTTGATTGTTCAGCTGAATATCAGATTCTACTGAAGATAAAACACAATTGCAATCTTGCAATTTCTATAATAAATAGACATGCTGTCTGTGCCTTCAAAACTGCAAGACTGAGAATAGTAAATAAAGTCATCTTCTCCAAAATATATAGTTCTGTATGTATCTTACATACCTCAGACATTACATGTTTGCTCAAGATTTATACATCAGTTTTCACAGTAGTTGAGTTTCAAATTGCAGAAACAGTGAGAGTTGCTGCAGAATTTCTTTGAAATAAAGTATGTAGGAATTAGAAAGAAAATTGCTGTTCAATTGGAGAATCAAACATATTATAGTAAAGTTGAATGTTAGAGCAGCTGCAAAATGTGCTAACTATGCTGCAGACTAACTATAATATCTCAATTATCTAGATCTGTAATTGGCTCTAAGAAATACAAGATCAGCAATAATCTGCATTCTCCTGAGTGATCAGTCTATTTCAAAGAAATCAATCACTTAGTGGTGTTGAATTTTAGAATGTAGAGAAATATGAATACAGATTTAAATAGCAACTTGGACAGTTGAATGCACTTCAAGTTAACTATATAATAGATAGCAAATCTCTTCAAAATTCAAGTATTCACTCTCATTTATTCTTACTTCACTCTGAACCACAGCAATCTGATAGCTAAAATATCAGAGACACAGAGCATGCCAGCATCAAAAAAGACAGCTCACATATTCTCATGATCTTAATTACACAGCACACTAAAGACTCAAGAGATATCATTTAGTTTAAATACAAGTATCTGAACTAAAGCATTCTCTAATTATACAGAAATTGAAAAGCAGATTCAAGTGATGGAGCACAAGATACAAAATCAGATGCAATGAGTCTATATATTAATATTAAATACTGACCCAATTCCAGATACTGTCCAGAAGATACTGAGTCTTGAGAACTGAAAAGCCAGAAATAACTTATATTTTTATGAAGTTTCCAGACACATATCAGATCTCTGTAAAGATTGAAAATGTAAGATCTTGAGTAGCTTAAAGATCAGAACAATATTTCTAAACTTCTAGTTATAGTATAAACTGATCTTATTTACAGAATCATGTCAGGGAATGTATTGAACTCAGCTTGACTGAGAATTCTAATTTCAGACTTTATAAAATAACTAATCAACAAAAGCTGATCAGCTATTTTGCTCAATTGTTCAAGTAGAACCAATTCTGTAAAGTCTTTTACTAGATCAAGCTGTGTGTCAATTTTGAGAAGTCAGCTTCACAAGAGAAATAATATTTTGAATATAAGTTAATGATAAATCTTAATTATCATGATTTCTGCTCTAACAGTTATAGCAATAGAGATGTATGCAAATTTAGCAGCATACATAAAGCTGTATCTTGATGACAACAGTTCAAAACAGGACACATTCATCTTATTAATCTACATCTGGGATTCTGTACTCAAGCTCTGGGACTGCTTGATACAGAAACCAGAACTGAGAGATATTAATTCAGACAACTTCACTCAACAGAAGATCTAATCAAGAAAGTCAAAGACTGTTCATGTTGAGACTTTACCAGGAATTCTGGATGCAGTCCAGTTGATATCTAGTATGTCACTCAGGGAACCCAATTCATATCCAGCTCAGACAGTGCAAGTCTGCAGGAGCCAGAGAATGATAATTTAGACAAGAAGAATTAGAATTCTTTGCAGAATATTACAGAGAATTATTTTGAGACTGCAATAAATCAGTCTGTCTGTTTAAAGAGATCTGCACCAGCCACAACTGGTTGCAAGTCCCAAAAGAGATATAAATTCTAGTTGAATATATAAAAAGATGTCTTCTCAAGTCAAAATTAGCTGTTAGTTTGTGCTTCAAAATAGATTTCAGGGTTTGATATCTAGACTTCAATGCAATGCTCTGTTATATCAATGCTTGCAAGAGCTGAATTTTGCTATATTCAATATATATCTCTTTATCATTTACTATAATCAGCTATAGGAGCTCTAAGCAAAATAAGTTAGCACTTAGTAATGTATAAATAGACACATCCTAATTAGGAAATCCAAAATAATCAAGCAGACATACTAGATATAATAATCTCTTTTCACACAAAATCTCTCTCTTCTTCTCTTCTTTTCTTTTTTTTTGTCTCTTGAGCTTATTATATTTCTTGTTATCTCTCTCTCTCTGTTTCAATATTGAGGTAAGTGGTGGATTTCAAATGAAATAAGAAACTGCAGCAAACTGAAGAATAATATATACAGAAATATTAAAAAATGACTCTGCAAACACATAAATTAGCAGCAGCTCAGGATAAGCACTCTCTAATATTTATAAAAAAGAAGTCAGAGTGAAAGTCCTCAGCTGTTAAAGAAGAGCTTACTATAGATAATACACTCTGTGGTTACTATTTAATATTTGTATATACAGCACACATTAACAAGTCTTGTTCATACAAGCAAGAAACTGCCAAGGCCTGCATTAATTATGCAGAAGATAAAAAAGCCTATACTTCTATCTCTTTAGAGATGCAGAAAAAAGTAGCAGCATTGCTGTCTGATTATAATAATTTTCTCAGACTTAAGAACACAATACTCTGAGAAGAACTGAAAATCAGTATGGCAGAACAGATCACTGATCTCAGTGAAATACTTACTAAAATAATATCTCTGTTAATTCAAACTGACAACTCTCTTCTTTTCTCTCTTTTAATACTGAAATTGGTGCTGCTACTTTAACAGCATTAAAAAAGCTTGTATCTATTCAAGCTGAATAAAAAAAGCTTGCAGAGTATATATTCTGCTCTGTCAAGATAGATTGAACTGATTGAAGATCATACATTCAACTCATGCTAATGCAGTTATATATATAGAGTATCAAAAAAATCTTGACTGATATCTGCCAGAACTTAAAGTTTAATTATTTATCTTCTGTAGTTAGTATACTTGATGTAATGTCAGAATGAATTAAACTGACTTTAATATTTAATAACAGAAAAAGTAAAAGACAGAAGAAACCATTTATAAATCAGTAGTTAAGATAAACTAATTTATTGCTGTTTTGCTCTCTGCTGTATCTGCTTCTCTCTCTCTCTTTCTCACTCTAATCACATCTTCTTTCTTTATTCAGTTACAGCTAAATTTATCTGCATCAGGCCTGTCTCCAACTGGAGATAGTAGAGCTGATTTGCTCAAAAGTATAATCAAGTAGCTCAAATAAACTTATTCTGATGATTCTTCTGCACTCACTTTATGCTCTGTCCCTGAACCAGAGACTCCAACCAGTGAGAAGACTCCTGAAATTTAAAAAAAAAAAAAATTCATTATAATTCAGATTATGCAGGTGGTTCTGTAAACACTTAGTAGTTAATTTCTAGTAATTAAAAAGCTTCTGAATTGGATTCAAAATCCTTAATTAGTGCATCATACATTCCAAATTCTATATGTTTTGGACCCTTTATATGTGCATTGTAAATATATGGTGGATCTACAGTTTCAAGCTTGCAATCTGTGGCTCAATGGGTCGCGTCAGATAAATGTTTTCCGATGGTTGCCCGAAAAGCTCATTTTTCCGGTATGGCTCCGACCTTATGTCACGTGGCTGTGCCAAGGCGGCAGCCCCAACTCACCGCGCAAACCTTGACGGCTAGCCTGTGGAGCGTTCCGAAAGTGGTCAAGTTTACCCCCACCCGGCCGCAGCTTGGTCTTGGGGTCCCTGTGCTCTGTACGGAGTACTCCGTAGTTTCCTCATGTCGATGGAAAAGAGGGCAAAGGGAGGTCGCCAGATGGAGGGCGTCTATCAGGACTGCATCTTGCATCTACAGCTACGCGGCTGATTGGTGGCTTTGCGTTGCACAGCAAACTTGATTCCCGCGGGGTGGTCCGTGGGCGAATGACTTGCATAAGATGGAGGGTCTCGTCCTGGTAACGGTTGTCTTAAAACGGTACCGTTATTACGCTGACATGCACGGCGTATCGACGAATCGATGGCACAGGACAGTGCAGAGCATACATATATGCATACTTGGATATATTTGGCTCCCCCCATAGTTCATCTCTTAGCATCGAATCTCGCTTGAAACTGGTGCTTGCGACGCTACTGAATAGGGGAAAAAAAGGAACTTGGCGGTCTCTTCCAGTGATGGTGGTGTGATCGCGACGGTGGCTTGTAAAAGTAATATTAATCAACACGGAATACGCACAACAAACAAAGGAGGCCCAAACTCCCTGAACTTGGCAAAAGAGAACCACCGCAGCATGAAAGGCTTTAAGACCACCCATCCTGCGTAGACGTTCAAGACTGGCGGTCAATACGGAGTACCCCGGGGATGCGATCCAAATTGATTCTTTTTACAGATTTCATGCACCACGTCATCCGTTTGGGTGGAAATAAACGCCCCATCAAGTAGTTATTGTTGGCCTACCTCGACCCCCACAGTCGCTCAGGGATCTGTATGCCTAACAGGACCCTTTTGATGGCAGGGTATGTCGTATTTTGGAGGTGATGGTGTGGAGGGCCGTCGCAATCACAAGGAAACAGCATCTCGCCATCGCATCCGAAGATTGGTTAGGGAGCTGGCCCAGTAGGATTTCTCGGAAGCAGGGGATAAATAACTGCGTTTGATTTCTGGGATTGGATAGTAGGGGAACCCCTCCCACCCAAATAGTAATCGATATTCGGGTGAAACTGAAACGTGTCGGTATACCTGCTCGTACCCAGCGTTACTCAAATTCCAAGGCGCATCCACCCACATACACACACTCTCTGTCGGGCTTGATAAACGAAATTAATTTGCGACGGCATGCAAGGTCTCCAGCAAGTCGACACTCAATGTGTCGTGCCTGAACTCCACATAAGGAAATGCGTGCAAAGGCCAAACGTGTTCCAGCCTAAAGTTGCCTTGTGGGGAGCACAGCGATTGGCAGGAATGCCAGCAAAATTCTCTGTAAAATCATCCGAGTAGGGAAATCTATTCTCCTTGGTCTATTGGTTTGAAAACACCGATCTTTCCTTCCTCCCCGGTATAATTCCCAGTAAAATACACCCTTAAGCACCGAGTTTGAAATGTAGAAACCAGTTTTCGTGTCAAGGTCAAAAGTATCAAAACGAAGATATTGAGCTGTTGTCTGGGTTGCCAGAAGTAATATTGATAGCATTGGCTTCCTCTTCAACAGCCAGCATGGCACTAGGACTGTTATTGTTCAACGATTTGTCCACTAAGGAACCCGTGGGGCAGTCGAAATCGCATATTCGCATCGCAGTGGGTAGTACCGGTTCATCTTTTGGCGTACAAGGATCGGAATTGGGTCCATTGGGAGAGAGCATATCAAGGATTATATCGTTATCAATTGGAGCCGCAGATTTAAAAAGGTAGGAGTCTGGGGTTCCAATATTCACTGACAATTTTGCCCAACTATAACTATCGTTTGCGTGATGAGGCTCGTACACCGGAAATTCTATTGGTTCTGGGGATGATCTGAGCCGGTCAAGCGGTGATTCAAAGAGCTGATGGAGGAGCCATTTATCAATGAACTCTGTCATGCTGATTTTTGCCTCTGCAGATGTTTGTAGGCCCGGGTTCTCCTCAAAGAAAGAAGGCCTTCTTCTGGTCCATTGAAGATTGGGAATATCTTCCATCACTTCAAGTGGATCCAACAAGGTTGATTCTTGAGGGTTGTCAAGCAGGCCAAGTGCATCACACTGTGCCTTCAATTGCTGGACATCATTGTCTACAGCAGTAAGATCATCAAGTATCTCCTCTTCATATTTTGCAAAATTTTGTAGCAATTCCAGAAGGTTAGAGTCCTGCACAGCCATTCCATATTTGTGTTTTGTGGCTTGATCTTCCTGTGCCATATCATATTCAGCACGTAGGTTCCAAAGCTCCTCTTTCAGTAAGTTCATATCGCCTATCCGGGAATAGTACTGGATGACTAGTGGGTGGTATATCTCTGCAAAGTTTGGAGCATTATTCTTGGCTGATTTCTCAGAACCACTGAATAAACCTTTGTCCCCTTCTCTGTCTCCTGCTTTCCTTAGAGCCTTGATAACTTCTTCAAGCTCAAATTCTTCCCTGTCCAACTGGTCTTCCAATTGATTATAGTCATCCTCAAAAGAAGAGTATTCATTTCGGGCATCTTGATACTGTTCAAAAAGTGTAAGAAGTGCTGGATCTAGTCTTGCAGGGTTGTCTCTATGATCAATAAGTAGCTGGTTCATTTTATTCATAAATCCTGCTTCCAGATCAATAACGCCATTGCGTTTACATCTCAGTTCCCTGCGGCGCTCACGGGCTAGCATACGAGTTGCGGCGACATTGTCTTGTTTTGCAATGAACCTTTGCAAATGGGTATGTAGCCCCCCATCTGTCTTGGGAGTGGGTGACCTTGGAACATGCTCAAAAAGAGGTATAGGCTCGATTTCTGGGGATGGAATCTCTGGAAAAGTCTGCGGTAGTTGGATCGATTCTGTCTTTTCAGAGGCAAACAAGAACTCCACGTTATAGTCAATCTCAACACTTCGGAAACTGGGTATGGAGAGAGACCGCCGGTACAAATTGACGTTGGCTGGATGGAATTCGCTAATCAGAGAGCCCGTATGCTTCAGATAAGTTAACATAGACATACAAACTCATCAGAGCCTTCATTTGTACATACGCTATCATCAGCTATAGACAATGCCCTAGCCTGAGCCATCGTCAACAGTATAAGGATGAAATCATGTCAATAATGTGGCACACAAAAAGGTAGATAGAGGTTGTCAGTGCCATATTTTGGAAGGTATTGAAAGCACAACGTGGTCACCTGTAAAAACAGCTCTTCTGCCAATGCATAAATTACCAGAGTTACACTACCGATACATGTACACGCTAGTACTGTAAGGTGTTTGTAACATAATATCAGATGGAGTGTCCGTCTGCGGCACATGAAAGCCTGCCCTGCATGGGGTCTGGTGATGAACCGGTGTGCTTGAAACTGACTTGGATAAGGCACACAAACTCGAAGCTTATTAGTACTGTGAAGCACGAATTAGGTATTCTTATGACCTCCGAGGTGTTCTCCTCCCCAGCTCCAATTGTGAGCCAACCGACCAACAGTGAAATTTTCAAGGGATGGATGGAAGCGTTCACGGTTGGATATCTTCTGCCTTGTTGCATCGCAAGTTGTGAATGAACGGTGAGGCCCGACGCAGCTCGCAGATCAGCCTTGCAGAACACTGTCTGTATTGGACAGGTAGATAAGTCTCAGAGTCAAGTAACGCCCATCTCGCAAGAGAGATGATGAATTCGCTGAGAATCCATGGAGTTCCCGGATTCGTACTGCGACCCCTGCGCCCATGATTGGAAAACTGGCTCCTGATATTGCCAACCGCAGTATGGCATTAAAACGTGGACCAACGTGTGAGAAGCCACTAGAGAACCAAACATGGGATGGAGCCCACGTTAAGGAGCCGCAGACCAGGCCCTCCGGGACGTATAAAAAGATGAAGCGTCGCGGCAGGTTCCCAACAGGAAGTAGAAAAATGCTTTCATTAGGAATTATCCAGGACTTGTGATTCACTAAAGTGTTCAACCTGTTTTCTCACTCAAGATTGGCTCACTGCCTGAATTCCGCGATGCCTCGAAACCAGTCAGCTCAGAACGCTGAACGTTGGCGAGATCAAGGTAAGAAGATATGAAATCCCTCCGGAAAAGGTTTGCTAAAAGTTCCCGAAAACCTCTCGTAGGGCGCCAAAGTTATCCTGAGCAGCACCGGTTGCGACCTCAAAATGAAAATCAGTATCAAAGGTAGGGCAACAAAGACCATGACCATGCCACCAAATGCTAAGACAGTGCAGAACTCATGAAGACGGACTGGCGCCAGGTTTGCCCTTGCATACAAGACCTCGATACTCTAACCCGGCGTACGATGGTCCCAATGCTGCCGCCATAGCCCCAGTAGGGCAACCCCGGTAAGTGCCATGTTTTTCCAAGTCCTCATACATCGAAATACAGGGACGGGGTTTATCCTCAAGTCTGAACCGCTTCCCTGGTAAGTTGTGCTTCCAATGAACGGCAAATTAAGATATTGCAGGCATGGGATTGTTCGGTTGGACCTACACGCAGATCAACCGACCTCAAACTTCCCTTCCCAGCACAATGGTGGTGGTGCAATACATGCCAACATGCCACCGGCACGGAATAAAAGTATCCGCCAAGGACATTCACACGAGGATCAAGACTTGTTAGATCCGGGTCGGTATCCCTTTGAGATATGTTGGAACTGAATCTGACAAGCGACAAGATTTCCGTGTCCCAGACAAGCCAGATAGTTTTTTCCTACACGGTAGAGTATTACTCCCGGCTCAGATATCCCCGATGATTATTCCAGACGGGGGCGTTAACTTTACAATTAGGTCTTCAAGGTTTTTTGGCATGAAACCGCTAGTTCCACTAGTGATACGGCGTCTTCGCATTCAACAATCGTGTCGAAACACGGCGAAAGAGCCCACTGCTCTGCTCGCCGTATGATTGTAGTGAAACAAGGGAAAGGTTTCTGCTTATGCGTGTAAGGACACCCCCGAACTCTTTGAATTTAGAGACAAACCTAACTGGTTGGATGAAGAGCGATCACCACCTACAGGCGCAGAGGATTGCAGAAGCCGGGAATCGAAATCGGTGCGCATGCGGTGATTCATATGAAAGATACCGACCCGGAGAAGATGAATATAAAATATTACGATCTTGCGAAACAGCCATTGGCCGTTGAGCCGGCCTCCATGACCGAAAAACTGCTTCCATCTTCTGTCGTGCATGTTGGAAAAATTCACACCGTTGAATTCAACCAGAAGGTCAAAGAAGTTGGTGTCCTCACCGGCGAGTCGAGGAAAAGGCTGAGGGGGTATATAAATGACAGTCTGAACTTAGATGCTCTAGAACATGATAAGAAGTAGCCGCATCTCGGGCTTGTTATACGTTCGCGCTTTTGAGTCGTAGTCGGTTTCTCAAAAGAACTCGGTTTACGCCGCATACGAAGTATTGTGTTTTGTCGAGACACTAGTCTCTATGTAGTTAGTCTCCAGCTTAGCGGCTCGGATCTTCTTTGATCTGATGCAGAGTTTTTCATCTTGCTTCTCATCCCACAATCCTTTGGATGAGAGGGGAGTAAGAGCACACACATCTATCAAGTTCATGTTCTGTGGTTCCTATAGCTTCTGCTTATAGTTAGTAGCCTTGTAGACTCTTTGAGAGATTCTGAGCCCTTTTTTAGAAATCTTTGAAGCCTTTGAAGTTATTAAAAAGAGAAAAAACTCTTAATGAAATAATGAACATTGATCTGAAGAGCTCTTCAGCTTCAAACCTCAATTCAATCTCCAGAAATATGAGTTTAGCAGAATATATGAAGAATGCTAGCACTAATATAGATGCATATTTATAGTCAGCAGATATTACATGATAAGTTAGCCTTCTACAGAGTAGTATTGCAGACTGCCAGTTCAAAAAAATAACCCTCTGAATCAAAAAAAAATTTAATATAACAGATAAAATAATTACAGATATCACTGAAATAATAATTTGGTTAATCTCTATACTACAAGATAAGAAAAATATGAATACTTGTGTTACAAACATAGACCTAGACCAATCAAGCATCAGATAACATCAGGTGTTCAGAGGTATTCATATGACCCCAACTCTGAATATATAAGAATCACACAATTTACAGAGATCATGGGAACTCCAGCATTCAGTCTCCTAGTTAGAGAATCTTTATATTCTACACACAACTCTCTCCCATCAGTTGCAGACATTATATATACTTAGCTCTTTTGTACCCCTAATTCTGGGAAAATCTATATAATCTATAACTGGTTTTCCTAACATTCTGAACACTTCAACATATGATTACCTAAGTTAGTACAATGCTATCAAGATCCATAAGATAAATCACAACAACATTCCACATTGCAGACTCAACAGAGATAGATATTAATGTAGAGAAGATGAACATTAAAGAAGATACTGGTAGCAGTGATGCCACTACTAACAAGACACCAGCAGATGATATGAGCAACAGAGATATATCTCTCAATATATTAGACAAAATCTGAAGAGAGACAATTTTTAAAGAAAAGAAGGCATATCTGCAAAGAAATCTGGCAAATATATATAAATAAAACAAGATACACAGACTGCAGAAGCAGATAGAATACAAATAAAGAATAATAAATAATAATTTCTCTTTAGAGTTTTTCTTACACACACAATTAATAGAGAAATCAGATAATTTCAACAATGTGAAACTTCTAAAAGCATCTTACTATTATAATAAATTACTTAACAAGTGCAAATTGTGGCTAGCTTTAATAAGACAACAGTTTTATCTGAGGAAATCATTATAAAAGACATCAGATGCAGTCAGAATTAATTAGATATTCAGTTATTTTCATAACAAACTTCAGATGCATTGGCAGATGTTAGAAATAAAGAAAAAACAACTACTTATATTATAGAACAAATTCAAGATGTGGTGTAAGAACAATATTGAACTCAAGATAACTTGTAGTCAAGATATAATGTAGCATTATCATAATACTGTCCAATGAGAGAACTAATTCATACTTTTATTTTTTATATATATTACCAAACTCAAACAGAATCTGGACAGTTTATCAGATAAATTCTTTTACATACTTTTTCTATAGATAAAGCTTAGATTAATTATCCAGGCTGAACTGAATAAACTATAACACTAATCAAAAACAGTTGCAGAATTATAAGAACAAGTAATGCTTATTAAGTTTATTCTAGAAAAGAAGAAGCAAAGTCAGTAAGATAAGAATTAAAATAAGAAGAAACAGAAAATCTCAATCTTTCAAGAGAAAGATATGTTTTAATAAGATAATGAAGAAGATTACCTACAAATAAAGAAAACACCAGTAAAATCACTTTCAAAAATATTAAAAGAGAAATACAAACAACAAATAAATAAAGAGCTCTGTCTAAAATATAGTCAATCAGACTATAAAGTAAAGTTCTGTACAAACAGCTTCAACAAGTCCCAACAGACAGACAAAAAGAATAAGAATCAGATAAAGACTAGAGTTATAAAGCTCATGCAAGGTCCAGATCAAATATTAGAAAGACAGAGTGTTAATTCAATAAAGAAGGCAAGCAGACACAGTATATATCTGTCAATCATACTAACTACATTATCAGATGATCTTATAGAGCAAGCTGCACTGTTGAACTCAGATACTACAGTGGACAGTATCTTCTACAAACTGATATCTCAATTAAACTGGAATCAACTAGAGATACTTATAGAAGTTATTAAGATGTTGAACAGAGCTGAGGCTGATTGATACAGTATCTACAAGACTCAACTCACTATAATGAACTCTATAGAGATCATAAAGATGGTAAAACATACATTTACAATAATTAATATAGTCAACATAAATATAGTTCTAGACATGTCATGGTTAGAAGATTTCAACCCAGACATAAACTGAAAGAACAAGATATAGTATTACTGACTCTTAAAGAAATGTGAGAATTGTATGTGTAGATCAGTATGACAATAAATCTCTAGAAGAAATATACATGGAAAAAGAGTACACAAGGTAAAAGATCTGTATTCTGGCAACTATATATAACTTGTAAATAAGATTGCCACTGGCTTTCAGTAAGAGATTCACATAGTGATAATCTTTTATGTGTGCTTGCAAGTATGTGACTTAGTGTCTCACAAGAACACATGCAACTTCCAGCAGCTCACAAGCTGAGGCCTCTAGCTCTTACAGATGCTGTTCATTCATGTAAGAGATTTGTGGTGAATTCTTACAGATTCCTCTCTCTTGTAAGTCTTGATCTCTCAAGACAGCTGTCTCATTAAAAATCTTCATGAGTAGAAAAACAAAAAACCTCTTTGAAAAAATAAAAATTTCCTCATAAGAAAAAGAGTACAGTCTTACTAGAGATGTGATATCAACACAACTCTAATAACACAACAGAACCTAATAACACAACAATGTGTAGAGAGTCTCTATTATTTTTACTAGCTCTGTGTCACTATTAGATAATGAATACTAGCTTAAGAGAGAGCTTTCTCTTGCTTTCTCTTTTTCTTCTTTTCTTCTCTTTCTTCTCTAGTCTATATCATCTTTACAAAGATAAGTGAACCCTTCAAGCACTGCTTCACATGAGAGGCAGACTTACAGAATATCTCTAATATTCTGAAAGAAAAATAGCTTCACTTCAACATTCCACATAATTAATCAAAAAACCACAAGCTGATGAGTTTACCTCTGGTTGTGTCTTTGCTTTACATGGCTATTTGGTTTTATCTTTATGTGGGATTTGGTTTACAGAGAGACTGATGCTTGCTAGCAATTACTGCCAGTGTACAGTCTTCTCTCTCTCTCTCTCACAACTCATCTTTACTTTTCTCTCTCAGAAGAACTCCCACTCTCTCTTTTACAGATGAGATTGGGCCTTCAGTAAGTAGTTACAAGAAGTTTGAAAAGCATTTACAACTGACAGTTCTAAAATATTGTTATTTTCTCTCTTTCTTCTTCACCAGTTATCATTACTCTCTTTACACCAGCTCAAGCTGTAAGTACTTCTTACAAGCTAACATTAATTTGTGTGCTGATAGAGTTAGAGTCCTGTCACTCTATCTCTCTCTCTTACAGTTATTGCTCCAGTTCCAGCCAGAAATATAAGTATTCTCTATTATATTTTAGTTCATAGCTAATCTTCTTTAGATTGTTGTTGTTGTTTCCCCTGCATCAACAGAGTTTGTGAGTGCTGTGATTCCACAGAATGCTTGAAACCATCTAGTATCTCTCTCACAAGATTAACAATAATAGTTTCAGATTATCTTCACTCAAATGCCACCAGCTGCTACTTTCACTAATGCATTACAGACTAATTCAGTGGTCCTTTCAGATCTTTCTTCCCATACAGAAGCACAAGCTTTATCTGCCCACAAAAAAGCATAATATCACAAGCCTATCTAAAGATTCATGCTTATTACTGGTTTGGATAATTCAAATCAGTTAGCTGTTCACATCCAGCTCCACAAGAGTATTCTCATGACTAAAGCTGGGGCCCAGTCACTATCAGAACAGAAGTGCTCTGTCTGCAAGAGAGCACAGCAGAGCTATAATAATATAGTTTTTGCAGAGTGCATCTTCACAGACTTGAGTCAAAAATATAACAACTGTCTATATTATAAGCATCTTGCTTGCTCTTTCCAGCAGTGAGATTATAGATAGTTATTACAGATCTTTGCAGAAGAAGCTGGAGACTCTAATTATATAGTCTTAGTTTAGTTTTTTCTTTTTTTGTTTTGAAATTAATTAAATTCAGTTCAGTTTGACTATGTTTTTTCTCTCTCTAACTCATTTTCTAGTTTCACTACCTCCATCCATCTCTTTCACAAACCAGGCTTGTCCAGGTTCCTACTATAAAATTATTGGAGTAGCTTTCTCAGTAGACAGACATTGCTTACAGAAACTTATGTCTTGTTCTTCTCATTATTATATTCTTCTCAATGTACTCTGTACTACAGCTCACAACTCTCTCTCTTTAAGTTAATTATCTTACAGACCTGATACTTCTTTTCATTCTTGTTCATCTCACAAACTTTATAATAAGATGAGCTATTAATTTCTTTGCAGGTCTTGTATTTGTGGAGCAGAGATACATGAAAGACATTATAAGTTTGCAGACCTGAAGGCAGTTCCAGTCTGTAGACTCACAAGCCTATCTTCTCTATAATTCTACAAGACTCATGCCTCAACAAATTCAGTTTTTTGTTAGACTGTGTGATCTTGATATTGTGAAGATCAAGCTATATCTTGTCTCTCATCTGGAAGATCTTTACAGTGTACTTCTGATTGTAGTACTTTTTCTGATAGACTTGTGCCTTTGCAAGCAATTTCTTAGTCTTTTTGTGAAGCAATCTCATTGTCTCTGCCTGATCTCTTGAATTCTTGCACATATAGCTATACTCATCAGAGTTCAAGAATTCCATTCATGAATTCAGTCTATATATTAGCTGGAAAGATAATTTCTGTGTGAAAGTCTGTTATAAGTTATTGTACACAAACTCAGTTATTGGCAACTACATCACTCAGTCATTCTGATTATAATTGATATAGCTTTACAGATACTGCTCCAGCACACTATTCAGTCTCTCAGTCTGACCATCAGTTTATGGGTGGAATACTGTACTTATTGCTCTTGTGATCTTCAAGATGTGAGTCAAATTATCTTAAAATTCACTTATAAACAGAGATTCTTGATCTGTTACTATACTTACAGATAATCCATGCAATCTCACTATCTTGTGAATAAAGAGATGGGTCAATTTCTCTAATATCAGCTTTTTTGTTATAGGGATAAAGTGAGCCATCTTTGTGAATCAGTTCACTACAACCAGAATACAGTCAAACTGCATCTTCTCAAAATTCAGACTTGCAGGGAGATCTGTAATAACATCTATACTAATAGATTCTCAAGAGTAATTTGGGATTGGTAAGAGTAATAGTTCTTCTTAAGACTTTCCACAAACTCTTCTTGAGCTCTGACAGACTCTACAGACTTCACAACACTTCTTCACCAGTTCTCTCATTCTTGATTAAAAGTATTTGTGAGCTATAAGCTCATACATTCTTGCTGTAGCAAAATGCCCCATGAGAGATAGGTTATGATGACATCTAATCAGCTCTATTTGCAGAGCCTTATTCTGAGAAATGTACATACAACTATCTCTATAGAGAATATTCTTCTTCTCTTTTCATATCACAAATTTCTTTGTGCTTATCTTAATGTCTTTGCAGATCTCAGCTGTATAGTCATCACTTTGCAGTAGATTTGACAGTAATGCCAACAGATTAGAGCTGCTCTTTTTATAAGAATTCTTCTTGCAGATCAGATCTTTGATCTTCTGAATCTGCATTGTAATCTTCTTCACTTTGCATGTGTCTCTCAAGATAATCTTTATAAGTAGTTTCTTGATCTCAGTCTGAAGCTTTATAAAGATGAGTTGCACATTCTTATCTTCTCTCTTCTCTCTCTAGTTAAAAGAAACTTGAGCTGTTAGTTCTAATTTTTCTGTAATCTCTTGCTCCTTCACAAGCATTACTCTTAATTAATTTGCAGTCTTGCAACCCTTCTTATCATCTAGATCAGTCTTCTTGATATAGTCAGGTCTTCACAAGAGTCCATCTGCTGGGTTTTTAGTTTCTTTCACATGGTTAACTGTGAATCAAAAGACTGTCAGCTTTTGTGCCCAGCAGACCTGTCTTCACAAGAGATCTTGAGCAGTCTGGAAGTAGTGCAAGCTATTATAATCTGTAAGGACTTGAACTGGTGTTCACAAGTCTTTCAACCAGCAGTGCCAATATCTAAATGACTCCACAATTGTAATGTAAGAATTCGCCGCGAACCCCTTATACAGACAAACAGCACCCATGAGGGCCAGAGGCCTCAGCTCACAAGCTGCTGGGAGTTGCATGTGTTCTCATAAGGCACTAAGTCACATGCTTGCGAGCACACATAAAAGGCTGTCACTGCACAAATCTCTTGCTGGAAGCCAGTGGTAATCTTGTTTACAAGTCATATATAGTTGCCAGAATACAGATCTTTTACCTCACATACTCTTTTTCCATGTATATTTCTTCTAGAGATTCATTGTCACACTGATCCACATGTATGATCCTCACATTTTGCCACTCTTCTTTGGTGACACCCAACAATGGTATCAACACAAAGAAGCCAACCCTCTGAAACTTGTGAACCTGGAACACCAGTCAAAAATCTATCTGAAGAACAAACCCAAGTTCACAAAGAGATAATCAATCTTGACATCTCATCTCTCTCAACTGTCAATGAAACAAGCACTGTGAACTCAGAGAGAGAGTCTATCCTGACACCAAAAGACAAAATCCAACAGCTTTGTGAGGAGACCAAGCTACTAAAGAAAATGGTGAAATGGCAAGAGAAGTTGAATGCCCTCCAGAACACCCAAAAGCACTCACAAAGTGAATCTCTTGATATGACCACCTCCAACCCAACACCCACAAAGTGTCTGTCAATCTTGAGACTACCACAACACACAAAATGCTACCAGACTGGAATCTACACAGAATATCACCAGTTCATCTCAGATATTGAATCCATTCACAACACAAGCAAACTGAATGATAAGAATACCCTCACATATGCTCTCACAGGACTTGATTATATTAAGAAAGATCTTTGGGAGGCCCACCACAAAGACAATTCATCAAAAAACAACTAGACTGGCCTTAAAGAATTTCTACACACAAGGCTAGAAGACCCAGCAAACCAC